GCTGTAGAAATATAAGATGTTAATCCACCTGGTGTCGCTCCTACAAGAACTTTTACCGTGTTACGGTTTTTATAGGTAGAATACGTTGCTTGCTGTGGCTTTGGTAACTTTGGTCTTTTAATTGGACACTCTGTGCCATCTATTATCACTCTAGTATTTGGAAATTTTGTTTTAAAATCTGATGGACAGTAATATTTTACAAGATACTTTGTAGGCCAAATGTCGATTTCCTGCCATTGCTTACTCATGAATAAAATCCATGTAAAAAATATATTTGATACAGTCTTTTCGGAAACTCCAAATAATCTTGAAAGTTCAAAATTGGTCGTATGGCGCCGTAACTTGCAGAGGACTAAGAAAAATTGGTCAGGAACACTTATGTTTGAAACCTTATGATAAATATAATTCAAACAGTGAGCTGCGGGTCCTAAGGTTCTAAAAACAAAATAAAATTTAGTTAGAGTTTCCAATCCAGTATAGAAATTTACTCCGGCATCATCATTTGTAAAGTTTTCAATACTCATTGGGGGATACCGAGGAGTTTGTGTCTGTACATCAAAAAATTTAACGTCAGATTTCTGAACAGTGACTTGAATTTCTTCAGCCAAAATTTGGGTAGAGTTAGATACAATTTCCTCGGATACTTGCAGATCATCAGCTGATGTATAGATGAATTCATCTATGGAAGACGAAGCAGAAAATTCTTCTGCTAGTTTTCGTTTGATGCCTCTGGACTTGGCTCTGTCGGCTCGTTCATGTGAATGTGGACTTGGCTCTACCCAGGGAAAAATGCTTGGCACTGCAGTTTTCTTCAATCTTTTACTTAAAGGAGTAGTTCCTAAGAATTAAATTATTTAATATATCAATACTTGTTCATAGTACTAGATTATTTATTAAATAATTAATTTATAATTTGAACTAACTTTTTAAAGCAAATAAAACAAATATAAATTTACTAAAATATTTTTATTATTACAAGTATTATTGTTATAAAATTGATGTTACAAAACATGCCCATGTGTTTATTAATTCAACTAAACAGGTCAAATTTGTTTTTAAGCAGGGTGCTAATTAGACATCAATGTCAAAACACAGTATCTTGTACTGGTAGATATGCATAAATTATCAGGCAACAGCATGTGTTCTTTTAGACATGCCTTGTGTTTATATTGTTAAAAGATAATGCGTTTGCAATAAATGACCAGTAATTGAAGTTGTCAGTGGGGAGTCTGCATGTGGCAGTGTCTGTAACGTTATCAGATTACTTCGTATGAGAGGTAAACAAGGGATTCGATATTTTAGTGCATTTCATCTAAGCAAATAAGGCATAAACATTGCTCAGAATAAAATCTATTAACATTACTTTGCACATGCTTATCAAAGATTTCAAAATAAATAAATAAATATTGTTACCATGCTGGGTTTCAGTCAAATAGTCGTCTGATTTAAAATGTGCTCTGCAAACAACAGCATGAGTTGACGGAGTCCAGCTTTGAAAGCGAGTTTCACCACGTTTTATTGCGTGTATCCATGCTTTTCTTCTTAACGGATCTGTTGGAAATATATGGCCACCCCGATTACTACAATTCGGCACACAACAACAAGTTTCAGGCATGTTTTACGAGCATGTGTTTGACAGCAGATTGTTTACGTTTTTCTTCGATCGGTAACTACTGATAAGGCGCGAGGGTGTTCCGATACAGGACCGTGTTTGCCTGTGGCGCCCTCTAAAGAAAAGATAATCGGAGCAGGTTCCTAATTGGGAAACACTGATTCCCCCATACATGGCAGCTTATGCCACGACTCCCACGAGGTATCCCAAGAAAGGTCTTGTCACAAGGAAAACACCTGTGAAATATGAAAATCTAGTCCAACCTCCAAAGTTGTGGTTAAGGTTAAAGTTTTTTTAAGTGGATCAATGTCTAAGGTCAAGGTCAAATGGTTAAAAATATTTATACCCATAAAGATAAGCAATGTGATAATAAGAATTAATTCCACAATATTTAGCATATAAGGCCATTTAAAAAAAATTGTTTGCCTTCCCCCCAACAGACTGACTAAAATTCAAAACTTTATTTTACATGGCAAAACAGGATGTTTTTTTCTTTTTATCCATCTTATCTCATCAACAAATATTTTGAAATTTTCTGGGAAAAAGATTTTTCAACCTACCTACCGACTTAATAATTTTACCCTGAGTTGGGAGAGGGCAAACAAACATTATAATCAAGATGGTCTTGCCAACTTGTTTTGACATTATATTGTCTGACTTACTTTCATATTTTCATAAGATACTTTCATATCATTTTAAATTTTAAATATGAGTTTGCCTTTTTACTTAAATTATACATTTTTAAAAAATAAACAATTGTTTTCAATTTTAAGATATTTTAGTGAATAAATCAAATGGATTGGAAACAATTACAGGCCATCAAAAGATTTGTAAGAATTGTTGGAAACTCACTTGTTTTAGTTCATATTTAGAATAAAGTAACTAGAAGCCTGGTTTGTTTCCATGGCAACATATAAATTTACCTGTCTCTAAGTTAATTGCAGAAGTTCTATTTAATTATTAAAAAGAAATTTAAATACTTGACATATATACATATAACATAATTTGTTCAATTTGGTAAAACATGTTCATAGATGATCTTCTCAGTTATTTGTGATTAATGGTGGGGGGGGGGGGTGGTGTCATCATTGTCATGTAATAATTTCTAGAAAGCTGTACATTTACCCATTATTTTTTTTATTCTCACAAAACCTTAGAATATATAGTTTATTTAGTGATACATGGTTACAAATATATCAGTTGTCAAAATGGTGAAAAATTTCATTGAATATGACTAAAAAAAAAAGTCAATTTTGGCAAATTGCCAATTTTCTTGCAATAATTTCTAGAAAGTTTTTGATTTATCCATAATTTTTTTTTATTCTCATAAAACCTTAGAATATATAATTTATTTAATGATACATGGTTACAAATATATCAGTTGTCAAAATGGTGAAAAATTGCATTGAATATGACTAAAAAAGTCAATTTTGGCAAATTGCCAATTTTCATGCAATAATTTCTAGAAAGTTTTTGATTTACCCATAAATTTTTTTATTCTCATAAAACCTTAGAATATATAGTTTATTTAGTGATACATGGTTACAAATATATCAGTTGTCAAAATGGTGAAAAATTTCATTGAATATGACTAAAAAAGTCAATTTTGGCAAATTGCCAATTTTCATGCAATAATTTCTAGAAAGTTTTTGATTTACCCATAATTTTTTTTTATTCTCATAAAACCTTAGAATATATAGTTTATTTAATGATACATGGTTACAAATATCTCAGTTGTCAAAGTGGTGAAAAATTTCAATGAATATGACTAAAAAAGACAAATCTGACAAATTGCCAATTTGCTAACAGCCTAAATGCTGCGAAGAAAATTCGCTTAATATCCATTCAAATATCTTGAATGAAATTTATTTCTGAGATTTATGTAATATGAGCTCAGAGAATATAATTTTCATGTGAATTTACACTAATTTATTGAATGTGCACTAATCTAATTTAAAACAGAGCAAATTTGCTTAATCGGAGGGTTCTATATATAACATCCTTGTTACCATGGCAACCAAATTGAAAAGTTAGACTTTAACATCATATTTATTAAAGATATGCCAAATGTAGTAAATGGTGTGAAATTCAGCTAAATCGGAGATATGTCATGTCCACGACCTTATTTAAAATTTTGATTTTTATAGAGAATTGATATTAAATTTGAGTGGATCCCAGAAACAAGGACTTCTTAACTCTGGTCTGTTTTGTTACCTTTTGGCGATGAAATCAAATTATTAACTCCTGCAGAAAACCACTTATACTTCAGGAATTCAAATAAAAATTCTTTGATAATAATTGGGGTGTATACACCTCTTGACGTAAATTTAATGCGACCAGACATGAAATGCAACTATCAAGGCACTGGTCCGCCTCTGTTGTATTTGACCAATATATACCATGCACGCATAGATTCTGAGTTTATTTATTCGCTCACCCGCCCATTCATTAATTCATTTCTCTATCAAAATTTGCTTTTAAGACTGTCTCTTTTTTATTTCTAATTTTTCTTTGTGGAAAAAAAATAGTCAAGATCGACCTGACATGAATTATAAGCTACTTCCCAGAGAAGCCTCCATATCTCCACAAAATTATCAACTTCGTTTGGTCCCTGTTTTGTCTTCTCATATCTTTTTAGATGGACATTTTTGTTGGATATGAAACAGATTTTCTAAAGAAAAAATATTGATTCGCTTATAATTCAAGTCTCAGCTATAGACAAGTATGTTCACAATATTTATCATTTCAACTGAATTAATTTCCGAAAGAAAAATTTTTAAAATTTACATAATGTTACTCCTTATGTAAATTTTTCCTATATGTACATGGTATAGTTGTAAAAATAAGGAATTTTAATTAACATCAACACATTTCTGTGTCGATGTCATGCAATCCCCGTTTGAGGGCCTCTAAACACGTTCCCTTCTTATCAGAGGGCGTGTCGTAGTTACATTGCATCGTTATTTACGATCCCTCGTCTGGGACTTTTATTGATTAATATTAACTTTTCCTTTTTGTCGTCCGATCAACAGACCATTAAAATCATATAGTCACTAAAACAATGAATATGTGACTGTAAATAAAAGTATTCTATCGTGTCAAATCGAAATCTTCTGTCAGGCCTGAAAGGGGGGGGGGTGTCATCACGACTCACTGTCTTGTTATATTCTTCTACTGTAAGTAATAATGTAAATTATGAATAAAATATGACATATGATTGAGTTCATATCAATTCCTACTAAAAGGGATGTAAATATGTTGTTCTCATGAATATTATAGTTTAAGAAACTGCTGCTACATGTACTAGTATCTAGTAAATATATCTAGTAAATAAAATTTGAGTATGTCTATGAATGAAAGTTCCCATTCTTTTAGATGTTAATAACACCAGTACTATATTAGAAGGAGGAAGTTAGAGTGTCGGTAAAGGGCTGCCATACTCATGCAGGCATCATAATAGGGAAATATTAGAATATACAGCGATACAGCTAACACAACAGTTACAGGGGAAACATGCCTCCGAAGTTTGTAAGTAGTATCTATCTTTGTCGTTAATTATCTACTTTCTCTTGCGATTAGACTAGCTACCATTCACAGATAAAGAGCATTTGCTGGTGTTTTTGTCGGATAACGCGCATGTTTAATTAGTATTACAACCATTAACGCATCATATCATTAACACTAGAACTGTATAGACATTGTGTATAACTGAGAAAGTCTTTGTTTAAATAAAAAGTTGAAGTATTAGAAGTTTAATATTATATTTGTAAAAGAAATTAAAATACACTACACCTGTTTTTTACTTGACTTTTCTTATCTTATTGCATTTCTGTGTTTTTCTTTTCTTTTTCTTTTTCTCTCTCTCTTTTTTGGGAGGAGGGGGGGTACAATCGTCTTTGTGTGGAGAAAACCCATAGCATCCTACAGTTATATATAAATCCCAAGGATATGTGTCGAAGGAGGTTAAGCGTGGTTACAAGTGTTTGTTTATTTATATGTAGAGATATATATCAATTCCTTTCTATCAAGGTTCAACGCCCTTGCTCTGTAAGTAAATACAATTAACGGTTCCGCAAGGGCAGGAGCGTTAGGAACCCAAGTGTACACACGTTCAGATCAGTAGAAAGCAATATATCTGTTATCAGTTTAAAGGGCACACTTAAAGAAATTTCTTTCCAAAAAAAAAAAAAAAACAAGATGTGTTTGTGCAACAAAGTTCAAAAACATATTTTCAGAAGATAAGTCAAGGTCAAAGCTAGGTCATTGACCTTGGTGTCATTTGAAGAACTTCACTAGTGGAGTATGCACACCAAATCTGAAGTCTCTATCTGTCATGGTTCAAAAGTTATGGAGAAAGTTTGTAAAATCTATTTATAGCATAAAGGTCACAGTCAAGGTCACAAGGTCATTGACCTTGGTGTCATTTGAAAAAGCGTCATTGGTGGAGTATGCATATCAAATATAAAGTCTCCATCTCTCATGGTTCCAAAGTTATGGCGAAAATTCGAAAAAGCTATTTTTAGCAAATAGGTCACAGTCAAGGTCATAAGGTCATTGACCTTGGTGTCATTTGAAAGAACTTTATTGGTGGAGTAAACCAAATATGAAGTCTCTATCTTTCATGTTTCAAAGGTTATGGCGAAGGTTAAAGTTGACAACAGACAGACAGACAAACAGACAAACAGACAGGACAAAAACAATATACGCATCGGATCTATCGATCCGGGTGCATAAAAATGAAAAGAAAACAAAAACGACAACAAAACATACAAACACACCCTCACACACCCTCTCACAAACACACACACAATAGTTAATTTAAATTTCGGGCTTGCTTAATTTTACCTTGCTTAGAAATTAAATTTCATTTATTAATTTTATATTAATTGATTTTAACTGCTCACATAACTTACGAAACTTTTTTGCAGTGTTATACATATTATATATCAACCTTTTCTGAGAGAAGAGCCTTAGATATATTAACCGAAATGTGGCATTTTGAGACACGCCGATCCCTTCCCAGCTGACATTGATGATATATCTTTAAAAATTTTCCGTTCATGTTGGTCCTTTGATGTCAATTTTACGCATGACAAAATCCTTTCGAAGTGTTAGGTGAATATAAACTGCTTTAATTAAAAACGTATCTTTCGTAGTAATGGAATCAGAGAGAGAGAGAGAGAGAGAGAGAGGGGGTTAAAGAATACTTTTGATATTATTACTGTATAATTTCATCACCACGTGTTTACAGGGTGGAGGGGAGAAGTGTGGTATTTGTGGTAAATCAGTATACGCTGCTGAGAGGATAGAGGCGGGGGACACGCCTTATCATAAACTCTGCTTCAAGTGTTCCGAATGTAAAATGTCACTAAAGTAAGTGTGATTTAAGTGCCAATTTTAACTTTTAAAGAGAAATTCAAACGACAAGTTATTTCACTCCTATGATTGCCGATTTTAAATTGTCTTCATTAACCTAAATGTAAATAAAGTGGTCGACTCTAAAATACAATTGTAATAAATTCTGTACCAGACTTTCTTTATTTGCTCGGTACGTAATTTTTGTTCTTATTAATCCAAAAAGAATTGTAAATATATTAAACAAAATTGATTTAAAATTAACATCAAGTTACAGATGATTCTGCATGGGCTGCTGCTTAGTCTGTGTTTTATTCGAAGAAATTTTAATGCTCACCATTTCTACGGTGCTTAATATCTCTACATGGTTTTTTTATGAAGTGCTCGAGATATTTTCAGTTCTGTTTTTTCGTAACCAGAATTGAAAAACAAATCCCTGTCTGCTGTTTTCTGCTGGATCAGGAATTCTAACCCTCCTACGCAACATGAAACAAGTGTATTTTTCGTGTTAAAGCAGTAAAATGTAATTCCTCTTTTTCAGGCTGAACACGTATGCGCAGGCTGACGGCATTCTGTACTGTAAAAAACATTACCAGGAGAAAGTGGTAGCTAAGAATACTCAGACCCCTGTGTGAGGGCCTCTGTACTCGTTTTAGGACGCGTGTCAGTGATCTTTGTAGCAATATCTAGATGGTTGTAATTCCTTCCACATGCCAATATATATATGTAACATTATGCAATTTGTTTTAAGTATTTTTATGTGTACTTTAAATTTGTATTATTTTCAGTAAAATTTACATTTTTGTTATGATTAAAAAATATATGCAGAATACAGTACGTGTAGATTTTGTACTTCTTATTGTATGATTTGAACTAAAAAAATATTTCTTTCTTTTGATTATATGATATCTGATATTATATAGTCTAACAGAATATTTCAAAATCAAAATGAAACTATGATCCCACTTTTTACTGAGAAATAAAATTAATTTGACAGGCTATACACTGTCATCATGTCAAATTTAGATTGTAATACATTGGTACGTTTTTTCTTGTAAAATATCCTGCAAATACAGCTGAAATGATGGTTTGTTTGGAAAACCATCATGAATTTGAGCATGTCTAGTTTTCAGAGCATGATAAACAGAGATGAACCGCAAGGGGGTGGGGTTGGGAGGTTATCTTTCTTACGGATTTCAGTATTCATTTTACAAAGAATGCTCAGGAAAAAAATGCTGACACCTCATTAAATCTCCTTTCCTGTATACTTGACCCCCTCCCCCTTAGATTTTTTTCGTGTTTGGCGATTTTCTTCATTTCTTTCTCTATTTAAGGAAATAGACCCCTTTCCTTGGAAATATTTCACGATCCGTCCTAAGGTAACGACAATACAGGGATTAGTGAAGCTGAATGTGTTCCACGCGTCTATAGAAAACCAAACTTTATAATTTATTCGGTATACGTTGTTCAAGCTAACTCAAGGGTTGTTTTACAGAAATGCTATACTAGTATATAGCTGTAAATTCATAATCAGTGATTATGAGGAGAGTAGCGTATCTGGATCCCTTGGCAGCGAAGATGCTGTAAATTGTTACCTTGCTCATTTTCTAGCGAGATTTGGAGATTTACATTTTATACTTTTTAGAATTAATCAAAGATGAGATAAAAAGAAAAAGAGAACTTCCAAATTATGACAAGTTAAAACACGTGCACCAGACTTTCAGGTGAACATGACATTTTTTTTTTTTGCTACATCGCAATAAAAATAGACAAGGATTTTCAAATTAATATAATTCTGGTTATGAGTCCTGTTCAGCTCGATCACTGCATTCATCAAGGACTTCAATAAATATAAACAAGCCAAGATCTGCTTCAATAATCATTGAATGAAGTTTATATAACATCATCATTATAATGAGTCGATAAGACTTTTGATAGGTTTAAAAAGATTCTGGAGACAGTGTATTAAAGCTAGAGAGGGTTATATGACGTGCACCTATAGACACAGAAAAGCAACAAAATAAAAGGTACATCGGCCGTCGCTCGAACATTGTAAAATTCAACCAATCTGAACAAGTCATAAGAACTTCTAATTCAGAAACATAAATTATTTTCCATTGAGAAGTTGATGGTTCATTAATACACCCCCGTCACAAGAAGGGGGGGGGGGTAATATAAATAACGATTCGTCAATGTAACTTTTCACCAGAGAATATGACATAAAAATGTATTTTTAAAAAAGTATTATGCCCATTAAATTTATTATGTTTCTGCTTAAAAAATTATTAAAATATATCATATACATAACATTTTCAAGAAATTAGTATTGAAGTCTATGATATTATGACCTCATTTTTCTAATATGTCGGATTCAACTTAAATTATACAGACTGTCAAAAAATCTTATGCCTTACTTTACATGCGCGGAATTTACAAGGTTAAAAAATGTATATACTAAAGCAAGAAAAAAGTTACCATGGACCCCCCTTGGAAAACACTGACACCCCTCCCCCCCCCCCTGGTAAACACGAATAGGTGTGAAATTGGTATGAAAAGTGAAAGATTTGAGGCAATTCAACCCCCCCCCCCCCCCCCCCCCCGCCACGGAATAGGTTTTTGACGTTAGGGCGAGATAAGGTGGTTTTTTTTTTTTTTTTTTTTTTTTTTTTTTTTTTTTTTTGCTTGTCAAGAAATTTCTGGGATTTTATTTTATTTTTATTTTTGACTGGGGTGGACCCCCCCCCCCTGGAAAAAAATTCTGGATCCGCGCCTGAACTTTAAAATCTATATAAAGTATATAAAGTATAGTTTTTTAAAGTTTTCATAATGGGAAAATGAGCTGATCTAAAAGAGGGTTGGAGTTCCGCCAGGCCGGACCCTTCCCCCTCACATCACACATGCGCCTTACGTTTTTAATCTTTCCGCTTTTTTAATTTATAAAAATGTCAAGCGCGTCTGCTCACCCTTGAAATATTTAGAGTTAAATTTTAATTTTCATTGAGATTTTTTAATTTTAAATAATTTATGTTTTGTCTATTTAAAAACTTCGAGAGCTTTATATTAGTGAGAGTTAATTGAAGTGGAATTCCCTTCTTTGTCAATAAATCCTAAATCCACGCGTGACACCTGAGATAGGTTTTATCTCCGTGACACTGCCGGAGAAAATGTCCGTTACCACTTGCGTATTAATCACTAAAAAGCGGAAGTGGAATTTCGAGCCCAACACCTCTTTTCAAGGAGACGCAATTTCCATAATGATTTGACTAGTTTAGTAAGTATATGTTATATTTTTTAACTTCTTAAATATCTGTTATATGGTTAAAAATGTCATATCGCCAATAACGAAACGTTTATACCTGTTGATTTTGATTTATAAAGCGAAAATGATCGGGTTCGGCCTGGCGTCGGTTTTACTCACAAACCGCCATGTTGGCAAACGGGGAGGATCGCTCATTCGCTGGCAAATTTCTTTTTTTATACTGCTAAAAATTTGACTTTAGCATTGAAATTCAACGATTTATAGGCAATAAAGAATAAAGAATTGGTTTTTTACCAGGTTGATCATTCTTCTTTTTTGGTTTTTGTCAAGTATCGTTAATGCACACTTATGGGGGAAATTTGTGACGTCAGTTTGCACAATCTGCTGGCGGGAAATGTGAAATTTTGCATACACAACAACCTGGGACTTTTCTAGCATGTCTTAATTTGACTATCTTTTCTTAGCATTGAAATTCTTTTACATAAATAATGAGGGGCCTTATTTTTTTGTATCAAAATATATATTGGCTTGCTCAAATACGCGAGTTTCGAGATTGTAACTCTCCTACGATAGAGGCGCAAAAAGTACCCATTTCAGCATGGGGGTGGGACAGGTTGTCTCTGTATACATAACGTGCATAAATAAAAGAACGATATTTATGGCTTTTAAAATTTATTAAATGTTATAGAAAGATAATAATGTTAAGCAGCGATGCATTTGATGATTTTATCAAGCTCAACAATGCATATTTACAAATCTACTATCAATTTTCGGGTACTTGAAAACAAAAGAAACGTCGTAGTCTTTATAAAAAGTAACCGATTTTCTTGATTTTACGAACATTTTCTAAAAAGTTAGTATTTTTTAAGTTATAATAAGAAAAAGAATCAATATGTCATTTAGATTCCCGACGTTCAATGATCAGATGCATGTGTACTGTATTTATTAGAGGTCCATATCTCTTCCCTCGTCCGAAAAGTCTTATCTCCACTGATATTTTCTTTTTTGTTTCGATTTTTTTGCTATAAAAAATGATGCCTTTACCTTAATTCGGATAGCCTCAAGTTGTAGAGTGCATCTTGACAATCGCGTATTTATGATAAACCGGTATATCGATGATGCAATGTATCCAACATACACAACTAACAAATATCTGTCCCACCTGTTTGTTTACGCGGCAACGAAACTCCCCTCCTCAACGAAAGAGTGCACCAAGGGAGATAATCTCGAAACTTGCGTATTAGACTGCGTATTTAACACAAACTGACAGTCATTTTTTCTTAAAAATCTTTACATAGAAAAAATAAATTATACCCTACAGTCTGCAAAATTGTTAAACCCCTTTTTTCCATTAAAATGTGCCAATCAAGAATTGAATATATATGCATATTTAAAAAAAAAATCTTGTTGAATTGTGTTATGGAACAATTTTTATTTCAATGTTGAATAAATAAAATGCTAAGAACATTTTTAATGTGACATCTAACAAAAAAAGTCTCATTTCCTGATAATTTTCCATCCTTTTCAACCAAACTGCAGTATGAAAATCAATACGTAAATTTTACAAAGTGAAATTGAATAAAATAATTTGAAGGATTAATAGCCTTTTTGCCTGTATGGAATATAACCCAAGTGCTGATTGTTAATAGCTTCATTCGGCTCTGATATACATTTCAAAAAAGTTAAAGGACAACTGATGCCAGGAAAGTATTTGTACTAAAAACAAAAAATATGTATGTCACTCAATATTTCCTATGATGTGATATACACATTTCAGGGATTGACACTAACAGTTGTCCGATTGCCTAGGACAAGTAAATTTTCAGTTCGGGCAATTGAAACTGTCGATGTACTTGTCCGATCGGTCAAGTGGATATTTCTGATAGAAACACTTTTTTAAATTTTACATTAATTATAAATTGTCGAACACTTGATTTCTACAGAAGCCCGTTGAGGCCAGTTCAGAGAAAGAAAATTTTTTTATTGTTATTAATTGCAATTAATAAGCAATTTTTTTATTGTGTTTTATCGCAATTAATAATTATTGCGATTAAACGCAATAAAAAATATTTCTTTCTCTGAACTGGTCTCAACAGGCTTCTGTAGATTTCAGCCAAAAACAGGACATTTTTTTGCATTGGGAATCCCTCGGTGGCGTTTCTGGATCATACCTTCATTCAGAAATTGGGTTCATTATTCTGTTTTTTGTTGTTTTTTTTTTGGTAGTTTACAAAAGACACTCTCCGTTTCGCAACTTTAAGTATATTCTTATAATGAAATAGATATTTTAGAATAGGTTATTTATTCACTTACAGAACAGAATATAAAGAACACCAGTTATTCTTGGTACACGATGTATCTTCATTCAAAACATGGCAACTGTTATCCTTTTAGCATGTCCTCAATTTTTAAGGGGAAAAAAATCTTAAGAAAATAATATTCCTGCATTGCTGTGTATGTTTTCAGGATAGTAAATGACAGGAAAGTGGTTCACTTATATTCACAAAATGTAGAGCTCTTCACCACCATATCAACATTTCCCCCCGACAGTTGAGTTTAAAATAGAAATTAATTTGTCACTCTTTAATATTTACAAAAACAAATTAAACTGCAGTCACTGGATTTCTTTCTTTAGAATTTTTGGTCAACCAAGTTTTACCATCGGACAAGTCAAAGTTGTACTTCACTTGCCCAAAGGACAAGTGAATATGAAAGTTTATGTCTATCCCTGCATTTGCTTCAATAAATTTATAAACTTTTTTATGTTTTCAGATGAAAATTGAAGAAAACATGGCGGTCAGAATGGATACTACCAGGGTAGATGCCCTGAAGCAGACTGTAGAGGAAGTTGTAAGTAGTAATAAATAACTTCAACTATTGTAAGATATTATACATTGTATTTTATATCAATTAATCAATTTTTGAATATTATATCAATCTTTTTTTTTTTTACAATTACTGCTTAGTTAATATAGTAATAAATTTTTGAATATTATAATAACCTTTATTCTTTTTAATGACTACATACATGTACTGTAATCAATTTAAATATGCTATCCATGTTTATCTTTTGGGCATCAGATGCTTTCATTTTAAATACATGTATAAGACTAAAGTATACAAGTGGAATTCTTAAAAATACTCTTGTCAATTGCATAATGACATGACACACATATGAATATATTTATATGAGATTCAAGGAACGGTGGGCAGAATTTTTTCAAACTAAGAAATTTTAAAAAGCATTATAATTAAAAGGGTTACTCAAATCGATTTAATGTTTCAAAGACTGTAAAAGCGTAAATTATATGTGGATAGTCTGTGACGCAGTGAACACTTTTGTTATTTCAGTGTGTAGAGTTGGCCAGTTTAGGGGAGGAGTCATTATTTATGTCAATCAATCTGAAACAGAGAAGTTGTTTCTACCTTGGATCAGAACCTGGAAAAGAATTCCTGACCAAGAGGATGGACATCATAGAGAACTTCTATCACTTCATCAACAGTAGGTCAAATGTGACAAGAAAAATTGTCCTAAAATCATAATACTTGTTAACTTTTCCTCTGAAACAATTTTTTAAAAATCAGGTACATGGAATGAATTTACAAATTGTCATTTCTCTATCTTATAACAATTAAGCAATTTTTTCTTTTTTGACGTTAAGCATACTATACACATAGTTAAATCTCTTTGAGGCATATTTGATGTATACAGAAGAAATCTAATGATCTTTTCACAGGTAATTATCCCCTGGATGAATCGGAGCATCAGGGGGTATCTACCTCCCCCTCCAAGGCTGCTCAGTACACTGGAGAAATGAATTTGGAGAAGATCCCCCAGACCGTACAGACAGCTGAATCTGATCCAGACGACTCCAGCTCATTCACCATTGACAATGAGATGAGGGAGGACCCCGATTTTGAACACAGCATGAAAAAATCCTCACTGGCTTCACTGTTCAAAAAGCGTGCAGTGGGAAGACCAAGGAAGATGGATATTTTTGATGGCAGGGAGAGAAATACTTCTGTGTTGGAAGATATGGAAAAAGTTATCATGAACAAACCAATCACACCAGATATTCCATTTGGAGAACACCTGAGCACACTTAGTGAAAGTGGAAGTAAAATCGAGAAAATAGTGACTTCAGATATAGAGTTTGTAAAGTCTCTTAGAAATAATAGAAAATGCCTTTTAATCTGTGGAAATTGTGGTACCCCATGTTCATGGAAAAGGTCAATGTTGACCCATTTAGGTATCTGTAAAGGAAAGAAAAAGGAGCAGAAAGAGGAGGAAAATGTTTCTACCACTGTTGTCATGCAGGATAAATCACCAGTCCCACACAAACGGACAGAGACAGTGTCAGTAGAGGGGGGACAGATAGTTATAGAACTGGTGGATGGAAAAGGAGAACAACAAATTGCAGTACTTCAAGCTTCTGCAGAGGACACACTGGCACAGAACTTACAGCTACAAAGTGAGGCAGCCAAGTCAAGTGTGGAGTCTGTGGACCCGCTGGAGGAGGCCATACAAAGCATCACTCAGAGTCAAGCTGGGTCACAGTTTCCTTCTGAAGGGCCTGGAGAGAAAGACAAAGTAGAGAAACCAGTGGAAGAATCAACTCAACTATCAGAAAAGGCAGAAAAAGAAACTCATCAAACAAATGTAGAAGAAAGCATGGAAACATCAGAAACCTCAGATGTTCCAAAGATCACAGAGGAAGAAAAGACGGCAGAGGAACAGACTGCTGGTGAAGGGGAAGAAATCAGCCAAGACAGTAAATATACCCAAGTCAGTGAGGACCCAGATGATGGATTAGACAGTACAATGGATGAAGAGGATTTGGAGAAAAATCTTGAAGACATAGAGGCAATGGAATCTCTTATTAAGACTTCATATAACACAAAAGACAAAAGTTCAGAGAGCAAAGAACAGAGTGAAGATGAAAACATGGAAGATGAAGATGTTGAAGATCAAGTAGATGAAGATGATCCTGATTTTAATGTACTTGCAGTCAAGAAGGTTGAAGAAGAGGTGGAAACTCCAAGGACTCGTTCACGGCGTCAGATCAAAGTGAGTAAGAAGTATGAAGAATACCTAGTGAAGGTAAAAAAGGAGCCAGTAGAGGAAGCTCAGATGCCTGATGAAAGCTCAAAGATGAATGAGGAGACAACTGGATCTATGATGACAAGAAAAAGAAAGGTAGAGGAATCGCCAACTGTTACCAAGTCCCCCAGAGGTAGAAAGCCAAAGAATCGGGAGGAGGTGGAGAAGCCATTAATGCCTGCTAGCAAGAAGGCAAAGACTGTGGAAGATCCTGCAGCTGAAGGAGTGACTCCAAAAAGAGGCAGAGGACGACCTCCAAAGCATCCAAAGTCAACTCCTCAAAAAGAAACTCAAGAAGCTAAACAGCAGGAGGAAAAGAAAGATGATGTAGAAGGAGAGGAAAAAGAACCTGAAGAGAAAAATGAAGATGAGGATGAGGAAGATGAGGACAATAAAATAATCAAAGATGAAGAAGACATGGATGAGACCAATGAAGATGAAGAAATGGAAGAGAGCCCAGTAAAGACAGAGAAAGCCGAACCAGTCATAAAAGTAAAAAAGAAGCGAGGAAGAAAGCGTGGAGGGAGAAAAGAAAATGAGACTGGCTACAAAATAACAGCACAGGATGTAAATGAAGCAGCAGACATTAGTGAGGAAAAGGGGAGTTTTAGGTGCAAGCAGTGCAACATCGTAATAAAGTGGAAAAGGTCATTTATGAGGCATATTGAACAACACAGGTTGCTGAATGCTGGAAAGACTGACTATTACCGGTGCACACAATGTGATAGGGAGTTTGTCTCTGAGTGGGAGATGAAGAATCACATGAGAGGAAAACACAAGATGTTAGGAGTCTTTGATTGTGATACATGCACTAGGAAGTTTAACACAGCCATCCAGTACAAAACTCACAAAAAGGAGTGCACTGAAGATAACCCCATGCCATTAGAGCCCGAGGATTCAGAGGAGAAGCCTTTCACATGTAATTACTGCCTCTTTAAGTTTAAGAGCGAAGACCAGCTCATAACTCACAAGGAGCTGCACAGCATAGTGGAGTTCAAGTGTGATGAATGCGGCAAAGTCTTTCCTGAGGGATACAGGCTGAGGAATCACAAACGTGATGCTCACGACAAATCCAAACACTTCTCCTGTGACATATGTGGGAAGGTCTTCACCAGTACCAGGTATCTACACAGGCACCGTGTGTGTGTCCACAAGCAAACAGAAAGTGTCTGTAGAGTCTGCGCTAAGCTATTTCCAACAAAAGAAGAGCTGAGATTGCACATTAAGACGGTCCACGAGGAGACTGACTCCTTAACATGTGGGGTCTGTAGAAAGAAGTTTCCTTCACTGCGGGATTTAGATGCACACAGACCAGAACATTACGGTTACCAGTGCGACACCTGTGGAAAGAAGTTCCAGAAATTGATTAAACTAAGGGAGCACGTTCACTCACACACAGGAAATTATCCGTACTACTGTGATTATTGTAGAAAGGGTTTCCTACACATGCATGCTTTGGAAACACATCTTCAGACTCACGACACCAGTAGACCTATCTACATGTGTGATATCTGTGGTCAACAGTTCAAAACAAAGACAATCATGCTGAAGCATGCCAATGTTCACAAAGAATCCGTTGATTATCCGTGTAAGTTCTGCGATACAGCTTATAGAACACCTGATGGACTGAAAATACACATGATAGAAGTCCACATGACAGAAGAGCAGATAAAATCCTGCGGCCTTGAAATATTCAAGTGTGAGATTTGCGACAAGGTCATGGCCCGAAAACAGCATTATGACCGTCACAAAGCACAACATTTGGGACTCAAGAAGTACAAGTGTGACGATTGTAACATGTCATTCTACACACAGTATCACCTCAATCGGCACTACAAACTGCATCACGATCCCAGTAAATTTGCCAGTCAGAGATCCATGCTTCAGCAACCACAGGATGATGGGAAAGTTCCTCCTGAGGAGATAATTACGGAGACGATAGTGGAAGAAAATGTAGACAATGCAGAGACCATACAGTACATAGGGTCTATTGAAGATGGCAGCAGTCAGGTCCAGACCATCAGTTATGCCATGAGTGGGGAGGGTGGAGACCAACAGATGGTGGAGTTTGTTGTCATTAACGTGGCCCAGGAATCGGTGGTGGAGCAGCAGGATGGTATTGAGGGGGACGTGGTGACTCACGTTACGGAAGATGGCACGGTCGTCACTCAGGTAGCTGAAATGCCCACAGAGGCCGACCCCCAGAATTCGGGGGAAGTGACGACGACCATAACAGCAGAGGAGGAGAACGACGTGGTACAGTCCATACTCAATCTGCAGGAAGCCATCAACATGGGTTAGAATGTACAGTCCATACTCAATCTGCAGGAAGCCATCAACATGGGTTAAAACTCTACTCCTAGTCTTGTTACAGATGAATATATTTTATTATCAAATTACAAAATAAGTGTGGATTATTAATTGACTATCTCTCACAGAATTGCAGAGAATTAGGAAAAACTGTTAATTTTGTCACATTCTTGTCAGTTTGTTAAGATTTGTAAATCCGATTTTAAACACTACTTTTTAAAAAAAAATTACACATAACAATTATGCATCCATACAATCAAAACTGAATTAGTAAATCAATTGTGTTCCTTAATTTCTGCATAAAGATTTTGTGTACATCACATTCTGATGTGTCTATGATGGAAAAATGTAAATATTTCATGTTTGTAAATTGTTTATTGCAATATTTAAGTAGTTTGAGTTAATAGATAGTTCTGACGTTGATATTTATTCTTAAACAATATTTCATTGTTAAATATTACATTCAGTACTCATTTTTTTTCCTCCATTTTCTTTATTTAATATATACACTTGGAGTTATTTTATCAACCACTTTTTGCCTGTTTGTAAATTAAATCTTGATGTTAAATTTTTTGAATGTGTTCTTTAAAAAAAGTCATCATGAACTTGAATAATAAACATTGAAATTGCTGGGTATTTTTTCCTCTTATTGTATGAAGGGAAGTTGGATTTAGCATGATGCCTCTGATCATATTGTTTTTAGGTCACCTGAGTAACTCAGGTGACCTATTGCTATCCGTTTTCGTCCGTCGTTGTGTGTTAACATTTGAACATTTTCAGCTTCTTCTCTGAAACCACTGAACCAATTTCAACCGAGTTTGGTATACAGTATCTATGGGTGAAGGGGAACAAAAATTGTGAATTTTATGGTCCCTGCCCCCCTGGGGCCTGAGGGGTGGGGCCAAAACCACTAAAATTATTGCAATCTTTAAAAATCCTCATCTTTACTCCTGGACATCAAGCAGGCAAACTGTTGGCATGAATGTAATAACAGAGCTGCCAACCCTTACGATTTTGGCGTAAGTCTTACGAAATTAGCGTCAAAAATACGCCTTACGATTTCTCTCCATATTTTTCCGATTTCGGTTTTTCTCAGAATTTTTATAACTGGCCCTCTACAGTTTCTACTATTATAATTAAATTTTCACAATCCTTACAACGTTTGTTTGTATCGTCGTTTCGGTTTTAGATATAGGTGGCCGATCGCATTCATTTCAGAGTTTTAAAGTAAGCAAAATGGAAACGGAACATGCCTCAAATTGTTCCGATTGCATGTCCGTTTACAAAACATCTTCAGCGGCAGGGGGCTTAGGCGGTCCCCGGACCACGCCTTACTATTTTTCATTTCAGAATGTTGGCAGCTCTGTAATAAGCATTGAGTCCTCTACTGAAATTGTGAAATTCATGGCCCCAGGGTCAGGGGTTCTAGTGCTAGGGCTGGGCTATATAGATTATATAGTGAAAATGTATTATTTATTTGAAAATCTTCTTCTCTGCTCCTGGGTATTAAATAAACTAACCAAGCACATAGTTATGATGAGCAAGAGTGCCTCTTCCAAAATTGTGAATTTTATGACCCCAGGGTCAGGGGTGCTGGTGTTAGGGCGGGGCTCTATTGGTTATATAGTGAAAATGCATTTATTCTTTGAAAATCTTCTTCTCTACTTCTGGGTACTAAATAAACTAACTAAGCACATAGTTATGATGAGCAAGAGTGCCTCTTCCAAAATTGTGAATTTTATGACCCCAGGGTCAGGGGTTCTGGTGTTAGGCTGGGGCCCTATTGATTATATAGTGAAAATGCATTTATTCTTTGGAAATCTTCTTCTTTGCTCCTGGATATTAAATAAACTAACCAAGCACATAGTTATGATGAGCAAGAGTGCCTCATCCAAAATTGTGAATTTTATGGCCCCAGGGTCAGGGGTTCTGGGGTTTGGGATGGGCTCTTAATTGATCATATAGTGAAAATGCATTAATTCTTTGAAAATCTTCTTCTCAGCTTCTGGGTATTAAATAAACTACGTAAGTAAATAGTTATGTTGATCAAGAGTGCCTCTTTCAAAATTTTGAATTTTATGACCCCAGGGTCAGGGGTTTTGGTGTTAGGGCGGGGCTCTATTGATCATATAGTGAAAATGCATTAATTCTTTGAAAATATTCTTCTCTGCTTCTGGGTATTAAATAAACTATGTAAGTAAATAGTTATGTTGATCAAGAGTGCCTCATCCAAAAGTTTGAATTTTATGGCCCCAGGGTCAGGGGTTTTGGTGTTAGGACGGGGCTCTATTGATCATATAGTGAAAATGCATTAATTCTTTTAAAATCTTCTTCTGTGCTCCTGAGTATTAAATAAACTTAGTACATAGTTATGATAAGCAAGAGTGCCTCTTCCAAAATTGTGAATTTTATGGCCCGAGGGTCATGGGTTCTGGTGTCAGGGCGGGGCTCTATTGATTATATAGTGAAAATACATTAATTCTTTGAAAATCTTTCCTTTGCTCCTGGGTTTTATGCCAATGATCTAACTATTTATATTCATGATGAAGAAAGGTGCACCTAGCAAAATGGTTATTTTTTATGCCCCCGCCCCTTCCCTGGGTCGGGGGTGAGGGGGGGTACAAAGTCTGAAAATAAATTAATGCTTTGAAATCTGCTCTTTGGTGTTAATCAACCATTTTATGATAAAATTTGCAAAATTTTTGGTGTTTGGTGTTAATCAACTATTTTATGATAAAATTTGCAAAATTTTGAAATATGTGGCCCCAGGATCAGTGGTTCCTTTGGGATGAGGTGCACAACTGGTTATAAAGTGGAAGTGCATTTTCTCTTAATGTTACTCTGATTTACCCCTGGGTATTAAGTAAATAGAGTAAGCATGCTAAGTCTATAATTATTATAAGCAATGGTACCTCTTTCAAAATTGTGAATTGCGAATTTCATGGCCTCTGGTTTAAAACACGAACCAAATTTAATTGAAAGTTGTTGCACAATAATCAGGTGACCTATAAGACCCGTGGGCCTCTTGTTTATGAAGAACAATAAATATATATTCCATGTTATTGCATGAATATATACTTGAAAGATTCCGATAATTTGTTGGAGGGATGGAGAGATTTTTCAGGAGAAAAAAAATGAAAGTGGAAGGTAAATTATACCAACTTGTGCTGCTGAACTCAATGGCTGACAATGTTAGAGGGCTTCTTTCATAAGTCGACTCATAGATAAAATGCACTGCATAGTCTGCATCATCTTGTTTTACTGACTACAAAGATTAATGGACAACCAATAATCAAACTATACATCGTCAATATATCTAAATGTAGAGTTGAAGGCCACTGCAAAGGTTTTCTTATGTGTACTATTTTGAATAAATTCTGCTTTGTATGAATACAATTATTAGTCTGCTTATAACGGGGTTCAAAAAATACCCATGGGAATTCCAATAAACTGTCGGAAGACCTGATCTCCAAAATATTCATAAATACATGTATTGCTAATCAAACCTCAAATATCTTTTCAATATCGACTTCAGAGTACTTGGTAAAATCAAAATGTTAACTAGGCAGATGACCAATGACAAGGTATGAAAATTTAAGTTTCCATTTCTTACTGAATAAGCACCTGTCAAGCTATCGAAATGCACATGTATATAGAGTTGAAAAGTCATAAGATTTAAACTATATGTTATTCACTTTGGGGGGGAAATGTGGTTTCAAACTATGATTTACACACAGTATTCCTGAAGTTTCTATTTCGCTGTTGTTGATCTTTTAGTGAGGAGTAAAGAAAGGGGCTTAGTAAAACATTTACTCGAACACTCGATGTATCTTTGGTAGGGTTTTCATGAAGTTTAGGAATGCAGTACAGTGTATATGTATGGTTAATCAAAATCACTTTAGGTATTTAAAATATTAAATCTTTTCACAACTGACATATGATTTGAAGTCATTCTTCAGTTATCCCTCTTTGAGAAGACTGCACGCATCACCTCTCCACTGTACCGACAAACTTTAAATGTTGTTAGGCAATTTCTTTCACATCAAAATGTCTACAATTCCCCGTTTGCTTGATAATGACAGGAATCGCACGGCTGGTGTGACCGGTCAACAGTGGATGCTTACTCCCCCATGGCATCTGATCCATCTCTGATGTTTCAGTGGTCTTTGTTTGCTCTGCTATCGGTTCGTATTTGTTCAGAACTCTGTATTGTTTCGATAGACTTTTGAGCTTTGTTACCGTTTGTTGTCTTTAAATTTCATGCAGGAAATTAAATATAAGGGGATTTTGTATTCTTTAAAAAAATTCAATGAAGAAAAACTTAAGAGAATCGTTAAATGCGTTTTTTGTATTGGAAAATAACCTTTAAAGTTAACATCGACCTTCCTTTTGTATAAAGAATGCAAGCTACCTATAACTATCTGTCAAATGAAAGATATAACGAACAGTAATCAAGATCAAAAATCCATAAAACAATACAAAATAGGAGCAGAGCAAACACAGACTTCCAAAACATCAGAGGTGGGATCAGGTGCCATGGAAGAGTGAGAACACCGGTCACACCTGCCGTGTGCTCCATGTCATGACCGGGAAATATAGGAAAAATCCGTCGTCAATTCAGTGTATAAATAATGGACTAACAATTAGTATGAAAAACGTCAGTCAGCATTTGACTCAATAAAAAATTGTATTTGCTGACAAGGTCATTGTATCGACTATACTTACTTAATTATCATCTCCGTGCCCCGGAGGACGCATGAGGTCGTTCAACAAAGAACGCCACTTACTGCGGTTACTAGCAACAACCTGCCCCTCCTTCCAACTGTTCCAACCCAGTTCTTTCGTCAGGTGATCTTTGGCCGTCCTCTTCGTCTCTTTCCCTCATGAGCCCCTGTGAGAGCTGTTCCAGCGTGTGAGTTCTCTTCCCTTCGGAGGATGTGGCCTAACCATCTCCATCTCTTTCTTTTGATGGTCCTTGATAGAGGTATGGATCTTGTTCTTTCATATAGTTGTTGGTTAGTAATCTTTTCAGGCCAGTGTATTGTAAGGCATTTTCGATGGAACGTATCAAGCTTTTCGTCATCTTTTTCTGTTGTTATCCATAGTTCAGCACAATACAGCAACACAGATAGAACATTTGTGTTGAACATCTTAAGTTTGGTCTTTGTGCTGTGTTGTGCTGACTTCCATACTTTGGCAAGGATGCAAAGGCGGTCCTGGCTAAGCCTAGCCTTCTCCCAATATCTGCCTCAGTTCCTCCAGTCTTGTCTATTGTGGTACCCAGGCAGAGAAATGTTTCGACCTCTTCTATTTTTCTTTATCGACTATAGAACTTACGAAATGATGACCTTAAACGAGACTCTTGATATTCTTGTTTATCAAGTCAATAATTTACCTCGTTTTAGAAATCTTTCATACGTAGAGCATGCTCTTGCGTATCGAATCAACTGAAATATATTAACTCCGTATGCAGGTGATGAAAGTATATTGCTGCATAAGTTAGGGAAGTAGACGATAGAAAAAGTTAAAGTCATCACGTTAAATAAAATATCCAGATATGAAACATGTGTCAGACTATGTGGCATCTTTTATCCCAAGCTCACCAGGATATATCGTATCGACGTAAGAATGGAAATTACCATTGTCATGACAATACGTCGTCGATATATCTAAATGTTGAGTTGAGAGGCCACAGCAAGTGTTTTCTTCTTTTCATGCATTTTGTACAAAGTCAGATTTTGCACAAATTCTGCTTCATATGAACACAAAAATAGGTCTGCTAATAACGGGGCGCAATTGGTACCCATGTGAATTCCAATAGATTGTTGGAAGACCTGGTCTCCAAAAACTACATAGATATTGTCAATCAGAAACTCAAGCATCTTTTTGATGTCAACTTTAGAGTACTCGTGTGTACAATTAGAATTTTTTCAAACAAAATAATTTTGCAAATGACCAACGACAAGGTAAGTAAATTTAAGAGTTCCATTTTTATTGAAAAAGCAGCTGTCAATATTATCAAAAAGCCTGGATTCTAATTTATCGTGGGGAATGGTTGTGCATAAAAGTTAAAAAGTCGTACTTTTTTAAGTTGTTCCTTTTGGTGAAATCTTGTGATTTCAAATTGTCCAAAATTTCCTTGAAATTTTTAAGTATCCACATCTGATTTACACCACTTCTTGTTATATTGTTGCACAGTTTCTCCTTCACTACTGTTAACTAATATCTTAGTGAGGAGTAAAGAAATAGGCTTGGTTGAGCATTTACTGGAACCCGCTATGTATCTTTGTTTGTAAGAATTTTATGACGTTTCGGAATCCAATATATATATATGGTAGTTCAAATTCATTGTAGTTCTTTGGGATATTAAAAATATTGAAAACTGACCTATGATTTTGAAGAATTTCTTTCTTAGAAAGGGAACTATGAGTATAAGTTGGATTACCACTCGTAAATCCAAGTTCTTCTAAAATACAATTTATATAATGAGCCTTACAAACAAAGACAATGTTGTTACCTGCTTTGTCAGCAGGGACCAGTACGTACTGATCATGTAATCTATCTACTTTTTTCACTTCTGGATTATTGAATACATGAATGGTTTTCACATTGCCCCTCAATCTTTTGAAACACATATCAGGTATTACAAACTATAAACGAAACAGAAGGTACAATTTAATTAATAAAAGATATTGTAAACCAACTTTTATTCGCAAACACTTTATTTTGTGATTAAGCGCGGGTAAACTAGTTCGCGACGATTATTTTTCGCAATCAAGCCTTTGTTGGATCTTTTTTTTATATATAGACAGAGACTTTAAAGACCGGTTTGCGGCGAGAAATATTCGAAAACCTCGATCGCGAAAATTTCTCACTCGCGAATAAAAGTTGATTTACAGTACATATATTTTTAAATATTTACATTTGCAAATATCTTTCTTAGATGAACCTATGGAAAAGAAAATACGTTCAATTCTATGTGAATTTCATTTGGGAATCAGAGGTCATAGCGCGACCGGATCACAGAGCGATGTGATATTTTGACCAAACAACTTCTAGGTTATTGCGCGTCACTACATAGCAATTCGTTGGCCCGTTCGTGTAATAAATACAATTTAACTCGAAATGTATTCGTTTCAAATGTAAATATAAGTAATAAACAACAATGTTAAAAAGTTCACTGGGAAATGAACTTTTAGTTGGTACGTGATCAAATCTACTGAGAAGCCCTTCGGGCTTCACAGGATTTGATCACGTGACCAACTAAAAGTTCATTTCCCAGAGAACTTTTTAACATTGTTGTTTATTTCTTAATTGAACATCTAGATGAAATATTCAAGATACATGTATGCATATAGGCTTTAAACGTACGGTAAATGAGATATTTCAAACATTGCATAGATGGCCAACAAAAAATTAATTTCATTTAAAAACATTTGTTATAAAAATCATAATTTATTGTTATCATAAAGTATTGTTTTATTTAGTTTTTAAAGATTTCAAGATGTTGTGTGAATAAATTTGTAAGTTTATTTTATCAGAATATATTTTGGTGAGGGAGTAAGTTCTACAATGCTTACAATGTGGATGATATCCTTCCCAAACTCCATCATATTAAGATATGTTATAGAATTTTTGTACATGACACAGAATAATTAATACCCTAACCCCTACCCCCATCCCCGCCCCCGGTTAACTACCAACCACCTGATAGAACATTGAATTCGTGTTGATTTTCACGCATTTATTTTGAAGTTGAGTGCAAAATCACTTTATAAATACATGCATAATATTATATTTAGTTACATTATTAGGAACTCTAAAATTATATCAGGACGTATTTGAATTTGAAGTACTGCTAGTATTGCAATCAAAACGAAAGCTATTTTGTCTCAAAGTCTTCCTGGATCTGAGTCTAATTTTACAAAGCAATACCATGGTTAAAATGTGTCATATCTAAATCTACATGTCTCCACTCAGGCAGTTTTACTGTTTATACATCCTATATAAATATATCAACGGCTATTTATGTATCATCTGTAGAAGACTTAAAACAAGGTCCATCGTCCTCACTAATAAGTCTTTCACCTATATTTGCTCTGACATTGCTTCAGCTCAATTGTCTTCAAGAGAAAAATAAAGATAAGAAACGGACAACTGAAATTTTCAGTGGTTGCATGATCCAAAATTTAGATAAATCTATAACACACACACACACAAAAAAAAATAAATTTTACACATTGATTAGAAAGAAACCAGATATATTATTGTTAATATAAAACTAATCATTTATTTCCTTGTAAACATTAATTTAAGACTTTTATAATTGAAGGACTGAAGACATGTTTAACAATTAAATAAGATACAGTAAAAGGCGAGGAAATGGTGACCAAATATATTACGGATGTGTACTTTGTAAAGTAATTGAATGTAATTGAAAAAGTAATTGAAATTAAATGGTATTTTTTCAGTGTAATTAATCAAATTACAATTACAAGTAATTGAAAAAATGTGCAATTACAAATTACTTCCATTTTTTTTAAAATGTAATTAATTACAGTCAATTACAATTACTTTTTTCAATTACCCCATCCCCGGTTAGATCAGGTGCCTTCGGGAAACAAGCCTCTCGGATTCTCCTGTTGATTACAGCCACTATATGCCCTATGTAATAATGAGGTGTCAGACAGTTCTCACAAAACTAACTGATAATTGGCTGCATACAATAGATCAAGGGAATTTTATTGGCATTACCTATCTGGATTTTACTAAAGCATTTGATCTTGTTAATCATGATATACTCATTAGAAAACTTAAATGCTATCACTTCGATCCAATATCAATTAAATGGTTTCAATCATACTTATATGATCGAACCCAAAGTGTTAAAATTGGTGCGTACACATCTGAATCACTGCCAGTCACAGCAGGTGTGCCACAGGGCTCTATTTTAGGTCCTTTGTTGTTTCTATTGTATATTAATGATTTACCATTGTGTGTTGAACATTGTAATATTGATATGTTTGCTGATAACACTACAATGCATTTTCATGGTAATAATATTTCACGTATTAAAACAACTCTTAATCATGAACTCTGTCAAATACAAAAATGGTGTCAACAAAATCAGATGATTATAAATACTGATAAAACAAAATGTATGTTAATGGGAACACAACAAAAGAAATCTGAATTAGAACTGTTCATATTTTTGCTATATTTACTTGTTTATCAATTACTTACGTCATCAAGTTTATAATAAAGCTTAGTTGTTAGATAACCATTAAAGTCTTTTTCTAGCAAAATATCCATAAAGAAGGCCCCGAGGAAGACTAGTGCTCGTTACCTTCTCTAAATAAAGTAATTATTATTATTACTAATCAAATTGAATGAAATATATGGAGGGTTCAACATGTAACAGATGTGTCATACTCTTTAATATCTTTTATTCCAAGCTCATTAAGATATACCTGTTGACATATAAAGGGGAAAAAAACTATTGTTAATTGATAATACGTCGTCGATATATCTAAATATCGAGTTGAAGGCAACAACAAGTATTTTGAAAGACTCCAAAAACCAAATATACTCGTATATTTTCAATCTAAAACTCAAGTATCTTTTCAATATCGACTTCAGAGTACTTGTGTTTTCAATCAAAATGTTTTGATAAAATAATTTTGCAAATGACCAGTGACACGATAAATAAAGAAGTTACATTTTTTTTGAAAACGCAAGTATCAAAGATGTCGAGAAGCCTGGACTTTAAAGTAATTTATGGTGGGGAATAGTTGTATATGAAGTTGAAAATTTCTTCTGTTATTGATTTTGGTAATTGTTTTGATTTCAATTAGTCCAAAAGTTCCCTGGAATTTTTAAGTATCCTAATCTGATTTACACCACTACTTGAATATATTGTTGCACAATACTCTTGAAGTATCTGTAAAATGGCGTCACGCAATTGGTATGAAACGTGTCAGTCAAAATATGACCGAAAAATTATTTTTTTTTTTTTGCAGACAGTGTTATTAAAATGACTCTAAAATTATAAAATGTTGACAATAAAAGAGTTTGTAAAAATACCCGTAACTCCAACGTATTAGCCAGTAGCATATCTCGGATTAAAAATTGATCGTCCATCCAAATTGTTCTTTAGATAAAGTTTTCAATTTATATAAATTCAATTTTTAATTTATATTTTTTAAATATTTAAAATTGCAGAGAAATTCCAGTTCACCATCTTAAAAGATCGGATAACAAAATAATACTGATGTCTATTTTAAACATGATTTTTACGATTGTCACAAACTTCCCGGTCGTTGTATACTAATGCAATAAGACAAGGAAATTATAAAAGTATTTCACAGAAACATTTCCTGTATCATGAATGGATATGTAAAGCAACTTGTCCTACTATCAAATGGAAGGTGTATGCCATTTATTTTGTGTATATCAAAAAATTAAAGTATCCAACCAGATTTCTAATCCAGGAGCCTTTATCTTGTTCAACCTGTTATCCAAGTGAATGATAAAATAGAGGGTATGTACTTTATAAACTAAAAAGGGACTTTTGTGGGAATGGCTGTATTAGAAAGTATTATTTGTATACAACTTAGTCATTTACTATGTAAATAATCAGTGTAACAGAATGCGATAAACTGTAACAGGAAAGATACAGGTAATATCATATTTATATGTGTCGGTTCACCTCATTGTTTTCATGGCTTGGTGAACTTGAGGGTTCAGGTGTAATGTACATTCAGCATTCTACTTCTAGCAATCGTTGCAGATGGAGTCCTACGACTACCACGTCGTTGGAACTGTTCACAATTTTGGTGTCTTTAAGAATTCCGGAAAGAAGGTTATATTACAGGTGAGCTTAACTTTTTGTGTCATAGAGTGTGGTAAATGTAATAGAGAGGAGTAAATGTAATAAAGTGTATAAAATGTGTTAAATATTGATATAGCTTCAAGTAAGAAGCATACACTTCAGAAAGTATATTTGAGATGAAATTCACATTTTTACCTTTTGACACAATTGAATAAAACAAAACGGGATAAAATGTATTTCATAATGCACTAGTGTATATGGTCTTTGGATAGTTTGATTCCAAATATTTCCGTGTTGGACTTGCGCTCACAAGCAGGGCTAAAATTTATTAGTAGGTCTTTATACGCAGTGAGATATGAAGGAAATGTGTCCATTTCCTGAAATCTAACAGTTATTTATGTTCACGCTCAGAGGAATGATTAAAATCTAGGGACCGAAGTAGAAAACAAGAAACTGTATTTTAAGTTCCTTTTTAGAAAAAAATAAACTATTGATTTACTGTAATACATGTATATCATGGCCAGATTGAAAAAAGAGTGTCACAAATCAGAGGTTTGAAGACCATGCCTGCTATAAGTTTGAGTGAAAAGATTTCCATTCTATGGACAAGGTTATATAGGAAAAATAGTTACTGATATGATTGAGTAATGCAGAAAAAACATTGGAAAATATGTTATAAATTTAAATAATTATTTCCTAGAACATTTGAAATCCATTATTTTATAAATTAGTATACGCTTGCATGCGTGAGTACATGCACTCAATTAATAATAATACCTCAGATAAGTAATGGATTTGATGTTTTTTGTTTTCTTATTACAAATATTGTAGATCGCCTTAACGAGATAGCTATCTATTAATAAAAAGCGATATATAACATTTTAGCCAATTTTGGTTATTGTAATATATTATTATCTATATTAAAATGTACGCGGGAATAAAATATTTGCGAGCAGACAGACTCGCGTACTTACGCAAGATGAAGTATTCCTCGCTCTATCCCATAAGATATGCTGAATGTTCAATCGTATGTTACGTAAGGTTAATTTCTAAAGCGAAGCTATTGACAATCAAGTTGTTGAAAAAGGATATATATTCTTGTTTAAAGTCATCTTTTCCACAAGTTCTATGTCGATACAATGACCTTGTCAGCAAGTAAAATCAAACATTATGTAGAATGCTGACTGATATTTTCCATATGAATTGTTAGACTATCATTTATACATTGAATTGTTTACGTTTTTCCCCGTTTTTTCAAGACACGAAGCACACGGCGGTGACGATTGCAGGGGATGCTTACAAACGCCTCTATGGCACCTAATCCCACCTCTGATATTTATTTAGAAGACCGTGTTTGCTCTGCTTCTGATTTGTAATCCAGTCTATGGGATCTCAGACTTGATCCTCATGACAATAATTTTTTTTAAAAAATCCACATATATTGTTATTATGTTGCATTTCCCGAAGTAAAGTGATGAATAAGAGCGTCTCTTAAAAGTCAATTATTTCAATGAAATACAATTACATTATATCTTTGTTATATTACATTCATATATTACATTCTTATATTACATCATAGCCGAATGCATATGAAATGATTTCTTGTAGATTGACTTCAAGACAAACAAAATCAGTCTTATCAAGAAAGGGGCTATACAATACAAATGTGACTTCGATGATCTCTCGTACGACTCCGAGGTAAAGTATAACTAGAGGTACTGTGAGCAATGAGCTCACTAAATGATGCCTCCCGCATCCCATATGATTATATGGCAAAGTCCATGTTTTGCTGTGGCTTGGAAACCCAATATATGTGTCGGATCAAAAAATAAAATAGAAGGTGCACAATGGCAATATGTAATAAAGATTCTGTGAAAGTTTCATTTTCACTCAGTGGTATAAGAGGAGTTGCGGATAAGAGATGGGTACCCCAAAGCGTAACAGACAGACGGACGGACGGAAATACCGATTACAGTATACTCTCCCACTTTTCAGGCGGAGGGGGGGTATAAAATGTGTATACCAAATAGGTAGTCACACCTTAAAGAAAATTATCATTATTTGAAGCGGTGTATGTTTCAAAAATGGCATAATATGCATATAAATATAAACATAGATTAATTTCTCAGACGTTCAAATGGCCTTGATTATGGAAAATGTTCCAGGGCAAAAGTATGAGAAATTAAAAAAATATATATGAAGCAGATCTGGACTTTCTACAAACGACCTTTGTTGAAAGCTGTTACACAAACTCTGATTAATATCGTTACACACCCAAACTATTCTGTGTATTATAAAAAATTAGACATTGGTTCTTTTCCAAACCTCTTGACCTTTTACAGATGACCTCAATTCAATGTCTTTCATAATCTTTTGCCATCAGATACTACCCAATGTCAGCGAATGCGTCAGAGAGTACCTAATAAAGTTTAACTTTCAAAAGGACAAAGGGCAAGATTTTGACCAAAAACAATGTCATTCCGATCTTTGGGGTACAGATATAACATCTGTTATACATGCTTTATGCAAAAGGCGTTTACATGTCATTGAATGTTTATTTTAATATATATGATAATTATGTATTTCCTTTACAAGCCAAGTACAGACCGTGACTATAACAATTGATTTCCTTATATAAGTCATGATTGCATACAATTGTTTACTTTTATTGTCTCCATCTCTGTCTTTAAGGAAGGAGTCTTGTTTTGTATAAAAGTTGGCGGGAAGCAGATTGAACTCACGGCAGAAAACCTCGAGGAAAAGACAGCAATATGTCGCCTGCTAAGCATAGTACAGTGCAATGCTGCCGATTTGGTCAAACGGGAATTAAGAGGTAGGCTGAGATTCAAAAGTTAAACGGTTCAATATAGCGGCTTTACAGTCACTCCTTCAACTGTTATGCTGCCTCACCATTTTCAGGGAGTTCAGGGGGGATAAGTGACGATGTGGTTCGGACCAGGACGGCGTCTGTCATTAAGGAGGGGGTTCTGGAGAAGAAGGGCAACGCCACCATACAGCTCTGGGCAAAGTTAGTGAACTCTAACAAAACAGGGTTCAAACTGATAATGATTTAACAAGTGTTTCATTTTATTTTCATGAACTCTCCAAAGATAATGATTTACAAGTGCTTCTTTTTATTTTCATATTAAGTCTTCCTCCTTTTATTGTAAATATGAAAATAATATTGACGTCGAATGCATTTGTTTAAGTATGCTACTAGTAAAAGGCACAATAAATATGCAAAGTAAATATTAGATATTTAAATAATAAATATTTGTAAAAATATAAATCAACAAAACTGATTATTTTAGGAGAAAAGTGAAGGTGACACCTGGGATGTTTTCCTATTATAAAACAGACGAACAGGTATACATAATTCAAGGGGAAACCTTTGATACGGTTTATGCCCATTTACGCCTTCCTTTAAATGAGGAAAATCACTTACATGTATTTATAATATTACTAATTTTATATGATGCCAATGGCTGTAGGGCAAAGAGTTCCTAAAATACAGATCAAAAACATATGAAGTGGAAAAATAAACACTATCTGATACTAGACCAGGAAACACAAGGGTTATTTGATTATCAAGTCCAACCTTTGTCATACACTGATGTTTTAAATATATTGGAAATAATTTGGGGAGGGAAATACTAAAGAACATATGACTTTAGATCTAATAATGTTCACCTTATGGCTTACCCATTTCGTAAGCTGTAATAAAATAAAACTAAACGAGAGGTAGAAATGATGAACATGTAAATGTATTTTTGAAGCTAGGTCTGGGTTGTTCAGTGAAACCATGTAAACTGTCTGATAACGAAACATGTTTTTATACATTCAAAAAATCTTTAAAGTAATGAGATGGTCAAGAAATAAAACACTTTGTTGATTTCTTTAAGAGCCCCTTCTCATCACTTGATGTCTATTCATTGTGAAGAATGTGTTTTTATTGGAATTTTTCAGTCCGCTTTAAATGTAGTTCCACTGAAACCAAACCAGTACCATGTGAAGAGTGTGGGCAACTCCGGGTTTAATGTTATCTTCCCTAAAAGAACATACTAGTAAGAATCGCATTTAATTTGCAAAATTATTTCTGCCCCGTAATAAGCAGGCCTATTTTTTTATGTATGTAAAGCAACAGTTATTAAAAAAGAAATGTAAAAAAACCACTTGCTGTTGCCTTCAACACGACATTTTGATACACAGAAAACGTGAAATCAATTTTCAAGTTACTTTCATTCCAATGTCGGCTTGTTATATCACAATGAACTTGAAATAAAAGTTATCACAGAGCTTGACAATCTGATTCATATTTAGTCATTTTATTAGGAAAAGGCGTTATTAGTAACCAAAAAATAATATATTAATCGTGATGACTTCAAATTAAATTTCCTTCGTCAACTTCTGTTATTGATGTAACAGTGAACACCTATTATTATTTTTTTACATCTCCCATTTGATATGTCAAGCAAGGGTACGTTCTACCTGCAATCAATTTCTAAACCGAAACAAGCTATCATTAAGTCAAATGTTGACGGACGTTTTTCATACTAAATGTTAGGTCATTATTTATACACTGAATTGTCTACGGGTTTCTCTGCTTGCCCCACCATCAGCACATGATATGCAGGGTATGACCGATCGATAGGGGATGCTTATTTCTCCATGCCACTTGAACCCAGTCCTGATATTTTTAGAGGTTCGCTCTGCTCCTGATTTGTATTATTTTGTCGTACTTTTGAGCTTGAATACTGTTCATAAACTATACATTTTATCTTATAAAAGAAATGCATTATTAGACAAGCAACGTATTACTCCTCAACAAAAGAATGGATTTTTTTTGCTTTAATTGCAGTTTCCGATTAACATCATCCAATGCACCCAGTTCACAGACTGAAAGAGATGGATGGATTCAGGTAAAACATTTTTTTTCAGAAATAATCGGTTTTTTTTTAAATAGTGGAGAAATATTCATTCCTTTTAACGTTTGATCTCTAATACTGTTCGTTAGCTCCACATATTTCATGTCTACATTAATTATAAAGAATTTTTCAATTTTTTCCCCAAAGTTCACTCAGTTACCCCAGTAGGTTTTGTTGTCAGAAAATATCATTGACTGATAAACAGCAAAAGTAAAATTAGTGTCCAGTTTCAACCTCATAATGTAAAAAAGTTAAAAGTTCATATCTTAAACGAAGATTGCTTATGTCATGTTCATTTGAACAATGTCACATTCTGAGAAATGTACTCGCATGTTATCATATCTTAAAGGCGGTACTTTTAATAGACTTAATTACTAGTACAGTGTATTTAAAAAATATGTGAAATTTAATTATATAGAGCAAGTTTTAGTTCATGGTCTTTTTAAACTTCGTTAATAGACATGCATGTGTAATATTACTTCATAAATAAAACCTCAGTGCTTCATTGCAGGCCTTCACATCAGCATGTCAGGAGAAGAGAAGAACAGTGATAGATTTTGAGTCCTCTGGTCTAGAACCCACACATCAACCAAACAATAAGTTTATGTTAAGTGTGGGCTCATTAAGCCAGTCAGATGACTCTATGTATGACCAAGTTTATGCGGTAAGACATTTCATATGGTAAAAACAGAATATTTCATACTTACATAATTTCATTTTCCTTTTCTTCAGTATTTAATTTGTTTTATATTATAGGAGGAAGGAGTCAAAAGTACAGAAATCCAGTAAGCAAGGAATAATTCAAAAAAATGAATAGAGCTATTGCATAGAATAATGAAATGTACATGCACACACATATAAGTTGTGCCAATTTCTTTTCCAGTACAGAAGCTGAAACCCAAACTGAGAAAGAAGAAAGGCTCTCTGCAGAAGTTCCTAAATCTGAACCCTTGAAAAGTGCCACCAAAGACAGACCTAAAACAAAGCAACCTTTGGTCGCTGTGAAGTCTTTAATACCCGAGGAGAGCGAACAAGAGAGAAATGAGGAGATTCCATCCAACCAAACTAAAACAGAGTCAGAAAATACACAGGATGTGCCTGTTGTGAACGATTTATACGACGTCGTAAAAGACATACTTTACTCCTCATCAGAAGACAATCTGAGTGAAGGCCACGAGGAGATGGTCTGCCCAGAAGGAGATTATGCTGATCCAGAGGAAGAACCTTGCATCCCACAGCAAGTGTCCGCCAAGACTGGGGCAGAGTGTCCTACGTATGAAGACATTACAGAAGGAACAAAATCTCCAGGTATACATATTTGTATATAATTAGATACTATATTTGTAATTATTTTTAATTTTAGCAATATCAGATTCTGCATGCCCCCCCTTTTTTTTAAAGTGCCCCTACAGCCATATTTATATTTTCCAGAGTTAAAATCTGCACAAGAAATACAAAATGATAATCCAGAAACGCCGCTTTACTCAGAAGTGAGAAAAATATCATACGATGCAGACAATGGGAATCGTTCTGACGTAAGCAATGATGAGAAAGACCAGAAAGAAACTCCAGTTTATGCAAAGTCATTGAAAAAGAAGCAAAACCAAAGAAGGGATTCCCTTAAACAGCGTGAAGTACTCCCTCCTCCTCCGCCACCACCTATATCCCCTATTCCTTCACAACCTCCATGCCAGGTGGTTACAGAATCCCACACTGAAGACAAAAACCAAGAACGAAAGCTTCGTAAAAAATCTTTAGCTAGACCCCCGTCTCAACCTCCGCCTCCCCCTTCTCCAAAAGATCGTCAATCGACGTCATCGGGAACGTCAGATTTGTCTAGATCGTCTGCATCAGACAAAATAGAACCGCAGAAAACTATTGATGATTTACCTCTTACCTTGCTTACTCCACCAAAAGATCGTCACTCAACATCATCATTTTCTTCTGACTTGTCTCAATCATCGGCAGGGAAATCAGCAGTATCGTCAGAGGTAGAGAGAGAAGAGGCTACTGACACCTCTGCCTCCGAATCTCCTCGGTTGTCTTTTTCACAGTTCATTGAAGCCTCATTATCCGAATTTTCTCTTGCAAGTGAACTAGAACCATCTACTCCCCTGTCTCCTGATAATAATAATAAGCAAGTATCTGTGGACAGTGATGAGCAAAAAAAAGTTAACACTGAACTGACGCCTGACGAAAACAACGAATCAACATCCATTATAAACAAAGAACAGATATCTGTTGCAAACACCGATTCTTCATCTGTTGACAACAGTGATTCTTTATCTGCTGCTGAGAACGATGAGCAAGTTGTTAACAATGAACAAATGTCTGATATAAAGGATGAGTCTGTAAGTAGTGAGAACAAGGAAGCTTCATCTGTTGCCGACAGGGATCACACGTCAACAGCAACAGCTGACCAACGCTCCAGTAGACCAGTCCAGCCACTCCCTCAATGGCCCCCTCCATCAGAGAATGATTCCTTACCCCCACAACAACCCTCTCATGTTCCGACACCACCGCCACCTCCCTCTATCCCACAGGCACCAGCGCCTCCGCCAGCACCTACAACAAAAAGACCAACGAAGCTAAGAACACTGCACTGGTCAAAGCTGAGCAAATCACAGGCAAGTTTTAAAATTGTAATCTTCATTGTTAAGGAAAGTTAAAGGATATAAAAGATACCAAGATACAATGTACATAAAAACTGTATCTAACCTTTGAACTAAACCCGATTTAAATACGTGTAATAAAACAAAGTACTTTTCATTAAAGATAAAATCATCTTTCTGGAAACATGCCACCGATCGCAAAAGTAATATTAATACAGAACTGATACTACATCACTTCTCTGTTGTGGATGATAGTCAGCAACAACATAAGTCAGGTAACTCTTAACGTATTTCTTCCTCACATTTATCTCCTTTTTCTTATTTCTTCTCTTTTCATAAAGAAATACTAGTATATATCATAACTGAAACAAGTTCAAACTTTTTTTTTAGCAGAACCATCGTTATCCGGAACAAAATTGTTATTAGATGCTACAAGAGCAAGAAACCTTGGAATCATTCTTACCGGTCTGAAAGCAGAGGGTGCGCGCCATATTCGCGAAGTCCTCAACTCGGTTACCGAAGATGAATACTTTCCGGCGGAGAAATTAACAACGATACGTCGTTATCAGCCGACTTCAGACGACATCGAATTGTTCAGACTTTATTCTGATAAAAAATCTACATTGGACCCAGTAGACAGGTTTATGTGTGAATTGTGTGAAATAGAATGTATTGGCACCCGTCTTGATTTTATCCTCTTACTTTGGGACTTTCCACGCCAGCTGAAATGTACAAACGAAGTAAGTTCCATAATTAATAAATAACTCATATTCGAAGGAAGCCTAGATAACTTCGTTCACTTTGTTTTTCTGATTTTTAAAGTCTATAGAAGAACTCTCTCAGGCGTGTTCTGATTTGAAGACAAACACGCACCTTGTCCAGTTAATGGAGTATATCCTTGCCATTGGAAACTTTATGAATAATGACCACAAAACTCATGGATTCCCTGTAACCTCTCTAAGGATGGTAAGAAAGGGACTTGTGATTATTTCTTTAAGGATAGAACCATTTTTACGGTCAAATAGTTTGTCGTTAAAGGGATATCAAAAATCCATATTTCTGTAAATTACATGTTCTTTATATCGGCTTTGTAAGCATATATAATCTGTTATTCGGTCGGATTTTGGCTGAGTTGCATCATACCAATTGTTTGACCTTTGTTTTCAATACAAAATCTGACAACGAAATTTTCCGTCTTCCTGATATTTCGGGCTGAGGGCTGGCGGGTTTGATCGGTCTACTGGGGAAGCTTACTCCTCCTACGTACCTGATCCCACCTCTGGAATTTCCAGGGGTCCGTTTTTCTGCCCTGTTTACAGACTTGTACTGTTTATAGATTATTTTAGGGTGATCACTCCTCGTTTTCTTTACCTTTTTCATTTAAGGTCAATGTATATTCAATATTTTTGCATTTTTTTCGCATAACTTTTAATTGAACAAAATTGTTCAACACTAAAAGAAAATGATTATGTTTAGGAAACTTTAATGAATAATAATACTAATTTAAGAGAAATTTGAATAAATCCTTATTGCTGCACACATGTATTTATTATTTTTTTTTTGTCCAACTGATCACCATCTCCTTAAATAGTTTATGGACATGCGCGGCAAGACAACAGATTTTACCTTCTCGCATTTTCTTGTGGAACTATTGGAGGAAAAGGAACCGGAAGTCATTAGGTGGATCCAGACAATGGACAGTGTAGCCAAGTGTAAAAATATCAACATCAAAGCCCTAGTTGTCGAAATAGACGGTAAATTGGTAGTATCATGAAACTTAAATTTAAAAAGATCTTAATCAAATGCTTCAGTTATTTCAAGTCATAAATGAATCTTAAAGCAAAAGACTCTTACAGTAATCAGGTTTGATCATGTAACATTTCAGTGTTGTAACTTCTCAGTCATTCATTTGTAGTGTTGAAGAGCGATCTAACAAAATTAAAAAAGAACTTGAAGACGCTGAAGTCTAAAATAAAGAAACCAAATGAAATGGAGACTGATTTCCTTCATAAGGCACAGGTGCAGTATTTAATATAAAAGTCACATTCAAGATACTAGTATGTTTAAATAGGTAAATTTTTGATTTAATCATGCAAAACTCTTTATCTTAGACAGTCTTTTACCCTGTATATTTTTTTCTCCTTAGCTGTTACTAGTGAACTTCGAAGGCAGTATGCATTCTCTGGAAAAAGAGAGCGCGCGTATACAGGCTACTTACCGCCATCTTCTGGTAAAACTCATCATCTCTAGTTTGTCTGTAGTATAATTTCTCTAATTTACCTTACATAAGAAGCTCTAATCACTGCTCACTTAGTATAGTTCTGCAATAATTTATTGCTTTGTTTCCATACAAAGTAAACAACAGTGATGTCGGTTTACTTTTAATTTTTTTCTGAAGAAAATAAAGTAGAGCACTTGATAAGTTGTTCATCGGTATTTGATACAGTTTACTAAGTTCAAAAACATTTTTCATTAGTGTTTATAGAGCTTTCTAAATTGGAAGAAATAAGATTTTAACTCCTGTGTAATCAAATGTATCAAAATCTTTGAAAAAAAGTCACTTCAAGTATTCTTTGATAAAATTGGCAAAGATAAGAATAAAAAAAAGTTATTTTAAATATTGATATTATAATGGATTTGATATATATTGTGTTATGTTTTTTTCCACTAAAAGGAATATTTCGGAGAGTCGGCGAGCGTTCCTTCGAATGAACTCTTTTCTGTTCTGTCTGACTTTGCTCAGAAGTTCAGAAAGTCCGTGGACGACATCAACAGAAGAAAGAGATACCAGACACTTCATCAAAACAGTCTAATGTGAATTTTCTTGTTTGTGTTCAAAGTATAAACACACTAACTATTGAATGATGCAAAAATCATCAAAAAGGAAACTATTCCCTTTGTTCGTGTGTGATTTGTAAGAGAAAAGTTGATGTCTGTTATTTATTTTCGTTATTGAGTCACTGGATTCTCTTACATTTTTATATGATTTGGAAGTCACGAATGAGAGAGCTTCGTCATCAATGTCATTTTATTGAATTATTTATCAATAAAATATTTATTATTTTAGTTCCATTTATTTCTTTTGATGCATTTTCAAAATTTTATTTGAATACATGTACAGATAAAGGTAATTGCACAGACATCCTCATAGGGCGCGTGTGTGCATTGTAATACAGTATTTCCGAACAAAACTTTTCATTTGGTAAAATTCTACAGACTTATGAACCATCTAAATTGAAACCCTTAAGCACCAAATCCCAAAAGAGACAAAGGTTTTTATCAGATTTGATCGGAGGTTTGTACTTGTACATGTATTAAGTAATCAATTTAGATTATTGTGCACAATCTATCCTTCCGGTTTATTAGATTGGAAGTAATAAAATGAAATCTGGTAATAATATGAAATGATGCGCATTTTGCCTTTTAATAATCTTGTATGATACTTTGATTAATAAAGTTTTATGGAGAGAATAGTGCTACAATATATTCAAGAAATGTAAATCAGATGTGGAACCTCAAACCTCAAAATTTGAAATCATATTTTCCACTAAAATCAGCATAAAAAGTTTTCACTTTTCAAAAATTCCACATATATTCCTCACGAGCCTTTTTGACAACTTAGACGACTTAAACTTCTATAAAAATCATTTTTGAGAAGACACCAGATATCGGAGAAGGGCTTCAAATGCTGATGTTCACTTAGGAACATCGAGCAATGAGGAGTCATTCTGTCGTGACATGCGAAAGTGAATTTTTAAGTCTTTTCCAAAAGATCCGTATCTTTAACTTCGAAGTGCCAAGCGCTTTGAGTTTGGGTATCAACTTAAGTTTGTATCGGTTGGAATCCAAGACCTTGTTATCGCAGAACAAGAGCTCCAACGAATGACTTATAACGACAAACCGAATTGAAGGCCACAACAAAAAACCTATTTTTATGTAAAGTCTTTTTAAAAATAAATTCTGCTTCATTTGAATTCTAAACTGCTTCACTTGAATACAAATGCACGTGTTTTAATGACAGGACATAAATCCATGATAATTATAACAGAATGTTAGATGACCTTCTATCCGAAATCTAAATAGATGTTAAGAAACTCAAGTATCTTGTTTAACATCAATCACAGAGAACTTGTTTAAAGAATCAGAATACTTATGATAATAAGTTTGCAGTTGACCAATGAAAAAAATATTTACGAGTTTCGCTTTTATTGAAGAAGCAGTTGATTATGATATCTTTAATTAATCGTAAGGTATAATTATATAAAGCGTTGAAGAGTTTTTTTTCTCTATACGGTTGCATAACACTGCCTGCTTTAATTTTAATTTCCTAAAGGTTCCTTAGAGTTTTCAAGCATCCAAATTTGATTAACACCACGCCTTAAAATTAATAGATCAGAATAAAGTTTGGTGCAGATCTGATGCAGGTTTGTTAATTGACGTAAGGAAGAAGTGATCAAAAGAGTTATGAGACCAATGTTGTTTTATAGTGAAACCATCAGGTGACTGCTATAAATAACCGGTACACTGATCATTTTTTGTTGTCCCACTATCCTATTTCATTCTCTGAGCCTTTTCTTCATCGTATATCGCCTTATATCGTTACTTATACCCTAGTTCGCATATCTTGACCGTAATTTGTCACCTTCGTGAAACTAGAGAACACTGAACAGTCACACAGCGCATGCCATAATTCATGTCGTGTTCATCTCGGTCGTATGTGCTATGTGACGGGGAAAAAACGTTGGCCTCTTCACAAGGGAAATGAAGACCATTTCGAAATGTCATTTTTGTTAGCATAATAGTTTTAAAGGTAGGAAGAATTTGCCAAAATACCCTGTTCATGATTATATATATAAAAGAGAAACATATGCAGGGTTCGTATTTCGATTCCATTTTTATATTTTGAAGTGGAGGAAGAAGAAGTTTATTTATATATTTCCTTCCAAGTTCTAAATTTACTCACGTAATAAAGTACCTCTTTATGCTTTGAAAAAAAGTACTCGGAGAAGACATGGGGCTAATTTTACCCGCCCAGTAATGATCCAAATTAAAATAAATTTCCTCGTGAAGGATATCTTTAAGCTATGGTCAACAGATCTTCCTAACGCTATAAGTTTAGTACACCTCACCATGGTATGTGTATATTTCAAATATATAGATGTATTTGTTTCTTTTAATAATTGCTTAACGTTGTGGAAGGTCTTCACCTTCCACAATGGGATAAGAACCCAAAACCAAAGACCAAAGCCTTACTTTGTGACTTTAGAGTGAAGGATATGGAGATAATGAACAGTATTCAATAACAAAGTCTATAAAACAATACAAATTAGGAGCAGAGCAAACACGGACCTCTAAAACATCAGAGATGGGATCAGGTGCCTTTGAGGAATGAGCATCCCCTGCTGACCGGTGACACCCGCCGTGTGCTCCTCGTCAAGATCGGGAAATAACGGAAAAATCCATCGTCAATTCAGTGTATAAATAATGGATAACAATTAGTATGGAAAACGTCAGTCAGCATTTGACTCAATGATAAATTGTATTTGCTGACAAGGTCTTTGTACCGACTATAGAACTTACGAAATGATGACTTTAAAAGAGACTGCTGATTATATGTTTGTCAATAATGTACCTCGTTTTAGAAATTGTTCATACGCAGAGCATGCTCTTGCGTATCGAATCACACTTTGATATTGAATACTGTTCGTTATCTCCATATCCTTCATAGAAAAGTTATAGTAATCACGTTTATCATAGAACTTGATTGTTATATTACAGTTAACGTCTTTTTCAAGTAAAATATCCAAATATGAAACAGATATGTCAGACTCTGTGGTATCTTTTATCTCAAGCTCACCAGGATATATCATATCGACATAGGTATGGAAATTACCATTGTCATGACAATACGTCGTCGATATATCTAAATGTTGAGTTGAAGGCCACAGCAAGTGTTTTCCTCTTTTCACGCATAAGATTTTGCACAAATTCTTCTTCATATGAACACAAGAATAGGTCTGCTAATAACGTAGCACAATTGATACCCATGGGAATTCCAATAGATTGTTGGAAGACCTGGTCTCCAAAACCACACATAGATATTGTCAATCAGAAACTCGAGCATCTTTTAACTGTCAACTTCAGAGTACTTGTGTGTACAATCAGAATGTTTTTTAACAAAATAATATTGCAAATGACCAATGACCAGGAAAGTAAATTTACTAGTTCCATTTTTATTGAAAAAACAGCTGTCAATGATATCAAAAAGCCTGGACTTTATCGTGGGGAATGGTGTGTATAAAGTTGAAAAGTAGTAAGTTTTTAAGCTGTTGATTTTGGTTAAATCTTGTGATTTCACATTGTCAAAAAGTTCTTTTGACTTTTTGAGTATCCACATTTGATTCACACCACTTCTTAATTATATTGTTGCACAGTACTCTTGAAGTTTTTCCCTTCACTTCTGTCAATATTTTATTGAGGAATAAAGAAAGACGCTTGGTTGAACATTTACTGCAACCTGCAATGTATCTTTATTTGTAAGGATTCTTACGAAGTTTCGGAATCCAATATATATATTGTAGTTCAAAATCATTTTGGTTCTGGATATTAAAAATATTCAAAACTGACATACGAATTTGAAGGAAACGCTCCAGCCAGTACACCGAGCGGGCGACGATGTCAATGTAGTTATTTCTTATTTAATTATTAAAAAAAACAGGTATATGTACTGAACACTGAGTAACATCTTGTTATAGATCACAAAGGGACAAATAAAGATAGATATATATTGAATGATAACATCAATCTTTCCATTCAGCGAGCTGAATAGTCAGTTTTGTTTACTAAATCTGGCTATTTGCTTTTATATAAATCCGTTATACATTGATTCATTTAAATAGGAGAGTATCCTAGGAGGGATGTGTATTTCTATGGTAATTTGAGGTTTGTGTAATAGAATTGTTTCTGTTAATTTGTACTTTCTATAGATATATGCTGGTAATCATTTTATAGGAGATAGGAAACAATCAGAAAATCTTAATATTTATTCATTTAAAAAAAACAGTCGGTGTGGGTGCATCACACTAGTATTTTAGAAATCTTTTAACATACCAAATTCTAATCGTGAATCATCAAGATATATCTCTGGTAAAAGAGAAAACTTATTTGTTGGTTTGCTATCATCTAAAGGGGCAAAGGTAAATATCTTTTTTTTTGTATTTTAGGGGAATTCCTTGGAAATGATGTAACTGTACCCAGTTGACATACTTTAGATACGGCATGCATGAGCTGTATCAGATAGGTGCTCCATATGTCGACACAAGCAAGGTGGTTGTTTACGGGTTGATAAAAGTTGTAAACACGGAAGTGGGTTAATTAATTTGTCTACTGACGCAGTCCAGACAAAATACAGGATTGGACATAAACAAGAAACATTATACTATGCCCTTGTAAGGGTAAGATGCTTTTCGAATTATGTGGAAAGTCGTATCATAATAGAGAGCTTTTAAAGCATATTTTATCTGAAATAATTATGTTTGTGCAAGGCTTGTTTATGATATAACAGCCGATTGAAGTAATGATATTTGTTTGATATTTATTTTTTTTTATGTATTCCTTTGTAAGTTATTTGATGTGAGTAGGTTTTAACATATACTGAGAAACACTATAATATTGTTACTAAATACGCTAAACAAGTGTCAGAATTCCGGTTTGTTGCTCAATGATTTTATGTGATGAGGAAGTGAGTTTTGGCATTTCTAGTTTATTTGTATTTAACAACTTTTTAATTTTAAACCAAGTAAAGCTTTATTTATAGATCATAACAGGCGTGCGGACCAATGGCAGACCAAGAGCAGGACATTGTACAAGAATTTTCCGTGACCAAGTTATCAGGACAGCGCGTGGTACTTAAGGTAAATCATTTTTGTCTTCAAAGAAAGTCTTTCAGATTAAAATTTCATGTTTTTGAATGAACAGTTTAAAATTTATTTCCGTATTTATTCACATCATAAATAGGAAACTGTAAAAGTTTAAAAGAAAAGATAAATTATACGTCCACGTTTTGGGATTTAAGGTTACCTGGTATCATAATATATTTTGTTGTATGCTTCACAAATTACAGATTGATGTTAAAAGCGACAGCTTCAAATACATGAGGAAAGGAGAGGTGAAACACACGTGTAGGATAAAAGATTTGAATGCCACGCTGAAGGTATACCATAACTGTAGTATATGTATATAAAGAAATTATAGACATTACAGTATTTATATAATGTCAATGCAAATTGCTATGATTTTTCCTAAGTAAGACAAGAATGACTAACAACTAAAATTAGTAGGCTTATGTTACATTTCAGTTTAAGAATTCAGAGAATTTAGATTGTTTTTGTTAGTTTTAAATTCTCTGAATTCTAGAATAACATTTACATGAGAAATTTCGGAAGGGGGTTCTATATTTGGAGAGAGAGGGAGAGGGGGTATCATTCTACGTGTTAAAGAAATCTATTTAACATCTGCTTTTCGTTCATACTCAAAGGTACTCTAAAATACAATGTCTTTTATTTTAACTTCAGGGAGGGATTTTTTATGTTTTGAAATTTTGTGACCTTGATTTGTTCCATAACAATAACTTTATATTTCTTATTTCTGATGAAACTTTTTAACACTGTTCATAAAACAACTTTTTCGGTGATTGAAAGAGCAGAGAACTGCAAGTGTGCCGGAATATTTTAACCTTACTTAAAACCTTGACCTTGTATTTCCAGATTTCCTAATGTACATGTAGTTGTATTTTAAGAAAAGGTACTCTTATTTCATTCATAATATGAGTACATGTACGAACAATCCACATGAATGAGAAATAATTTACTTCTAATTCAAAAGAGGAACAACGAAACAAAAACTATACAAAATTTACCATTTAGGAAGTCATATCAAAATTTTATGGGTTCAAAGTTGAAAAACTGAATTTATTTTCACTAATTATAGTCAAAAATAGTTACTAATGGCCAAAAATGTATAAGTTGCCATATTTTTTAAGAAGTTGAACAATATTAAATATATGTGCATCTCATCATTAAAAATCGTTCAATTTAAGTGAACAGTATTATAAACGTTAGGTTAAAACTTGTTGAAATACAATAATTTAATTTTGTTTGTATTCTAGTCTCTCATTGGTTGATTCCCAAAAAGGAACGCAAATTATTTCTTAATAAACTGGTTTGGTATGGGGACACACCCCCTTGACAACCAGCTGAATCATCTTATCAATGCAATCCCCTCATTTCCAGTCCTTGGGATGCATGGAAAATTCCAGATTTAATAAATGTACCTTTAACTTCAAACAGTAGCTCGATCTTACCTCATGTAAACAAACATCATGGATGCTAGATCTGTGTATCAGTTATTGCTTCCCCTTGTTTCATATCACTTCCGTTACTAGGGATGTATTATTGAGCGGCAAATTTGAACTAATAAAAAGCAGCACAATTTTACACCCACAGTTGTTTTTTAATTATTTTAAAATTAAATTATAAGGAATGACTCTATTCTTATTACATACTTAGTAATAAATACAGGTTTTTTGCATATGCGATATGGCTGACGTCACAAAACCCGTATCAGCCCTGCAGGGCTGATATGGATAGCGGGGCTGATATAGGTTATCAGCCCTGCAGGGCTGATACGGATCAATATCACACCCCTAGTAAATTAAACCTCAAAAAACAGTACTTGTGAGTTGTGATCATACACATATTTTGGGGGTTACATAATTCTCTTAATTTTAACTTTTTGAATGTAATGATAATCTAACTGATAAATAAAAGATTATTTTAAAATTACGGATTGAGGAAATCTGAAATAGAAGTACATGCAGAAACAAACCGAAACTGTATGAGACAATAGAATGTGTACATTTTAAGAAGTCCGTGCATGATTATTTACTTATTTTCCTCTCAACTTAATGTGTTCTGTATTTTATTACTAAGTATGTCATAAATATAGTAAAACATACCCTTTTCCACATGACATCCTGATGCCTTCGGCCCTCTGGCTGATATTGGTGTCTCGTGCTGATACAGGATGTGATATGGAAAAGGGTAGTATTATTCTCTGTATAACCTAGTTTGGGTCAGTTTACGCTTCTTTATAATCCACTTCGCGGATTACAATGTATTTAAAGCCTAAACTGACCCAAACCAAGTTATGATCGAATAACTTGGCCAAGAATTAGAGTCATTCCTTAATTATTCTGATGCTAAAAGTTTCTGGGTAATTGTTAATTTATCTCCATATGTTTCATTTTAAAAAGTAATACAATTGTGAATATCAGGGACAACATTTTACACTGAATAAAGGAGGAGTTAATGCTCATGAGAACATTTTTAAAGATTGAATAACTGATTAAATAAAAAATATAATTTTTTATAATTTTTTCCCTAGCAATTACTTGCATAACATTTATTGAAAAGCCTTCATTCAAAAGATATTTTTCTAATAGATATGAATTAAAATTAATAATAATTTTGCAAAAATCTATGACATCGCATGAGGGTTGAAATGCCTTAAGTTTGTCCAAAAGGCATTTAAACGTAGCAATTTTCCAGGACTGGTTAGGACATGGTAAGTGCAAGCCACTCATTGGGTGGTTTCTTTAAGTTATCCTAGATTATAGTTGATAGTTTTTAAGTTCTGATCCACACTTCGAGGATCCACACAAATCAAGAGAAGCATAAATTCTGCAGTGATCAGAGGAATTATTAGTTATTTTAATTTTGCTTAATAAATGTGTGATAGAGAATAGATGTGAAATAAAATTACAAAGAAAATTAGGTCATCGGAAAAAAAAACCTTTAAGGAAGGAAAAAAGAATTTAAAATCCTAACATTATCTTTAATTTCCGATTGTGGGATAAAATAAAGATGGAAGGAAGATAAATGACGGAAGAAAAATCAAGATAAAGAAAAGTTATTTAAAGTTTTCAAAGCAGTAAAAAAAAAAAGAATTAGTGGTAAAATCATAAACAATAGTCCTTAAACATTGATTTTCTGAAAACAAAGTTCGATTTTATGACCAAAAAAGGAAATAAAACGTTCGAATAACTTTTGTTGTTGTAATCACATTCCTTTTAAAATGCACCTTTGCTCGTTACACAATTCTTTTAGTTCAAAAGTATTGCATTCAATGTCATCGAGGTGAGGAATAAAATATTTTTGGGCTTACTTTTGTACTTTGTATAAGATAAAGTATACGAAGGGTGTTAGAAAAGTTCGCGGACAAGTTCTATTGTGAGCGCGCTATTTTCACGAAACCAGTCAAACTTTTCAGATAAAATCTTAACCTATTTTCCAATAAATATACAAAACTTTGGCGCTCTCCAGTGCTCATTGAAAAATATACAGCTGTTTTATTTTGATAAATCTTGCTTCACGGAGCATGCTACATTTTGGCACATTTACATCACATAGACTCTTTATCAAGATTAAAAATTGCACAATTGTAGCGCAAAGAGATTTGTGATATTTTACCTGTCGCAAAAGTATTCTTGAAACATCACTGGGAGAAATTTTCGATCAAATTGGAGGGTATATGACTGTTTTATAGCCATTTATAAATGATCAATGCATAAAAACACAGCCAAAATTCGGAACGTCATTGAGCGTCATGGAGCACTGCACTACGTAAAAATCATGTATGCAGACAGGAAAATGTCTAAAAAGAGATTAAAATGTGCAAGATGCTGCCGGGAATTTCCTACACATACAAAGGACACAAGTTTTTAAATGGTTGTAACTTTATAAGAATGTAAGGATTAACATTTTGAATGATTAACCCCATCGATACTTCAATACCCCTTTATTGCATGGACGTTGTGCCATTATGGTTTTGCATAGTTTCCATACCTGATCGATTATCTGCATAGACTTTTTTTTACCAAAGATCTCAATAATATCCGAATCAGTTCAAAAGACATTATAGTAGAAAAGTAACATGTCTTGATATAGATATTCAAATTTAGATTAGAAAAAAAGATAAGAAAAATATGGCAAAGATGAAAAATTTAATGAACTGCGACAAAGCTTAACGGGTTGAAATCTGACTGTCACGTCGCCTTACGTCAAGAGATTGCTCCGTGAATCCCATGACCTCATAGTAAAAATCGTTGTAAATTTTCAAGATTGTGGTAAATGGACCTGATTTTTTATATACAAATAAACAAAATATAGGAATTTATTAAGACATAGGTCATACTTCACAGTACACAATAGATTTTCCGTAATTCAATGTGTCCGCGAACTTTTCTAACAACCCTCGTAATATATCTTGTGTTCTCATACAAATGTAACATTTTTTGCCAAGTAAATTGCTAAATAAAAATATTTTGCAGGATGGTTTACAAATTGAAATTAGGATTGGTACTCTAAAGAAAATATTATCAGCTGAAAACGAGTTGATAAGGGAGGAAATATTAAAAACCATCCAGGCGGCTGTAGAGGAACAAACGCCAAAACAGGGGTACCCACTGAGTGAGTGAACAGGGCTGATCTTTTGTATTTTGTAATTGCTTCTATACAAACTGGTTGTATTCTCTTTTTCAAATCAAAACAAGTCAAAACACCCCTTGAGTTCAAATCTATTGAATTTTTGTCGGCTTGTGTGTTACATGTACAAGCATACCAGTAATTTCTCTTAAAAAGGATATCTGTTTCTATAGGGGAGGGATCTCGTGTCATAAAAGAAGGTTTCTTGATGAAAAAAGGAAATGCTGTCATTGAAAAATGGGCCAGGTACGTTAGAGGGGACACAGAATTGATTTCTAGTGATCAAAATAAGTTTTTGAGCTCATTTGACAATCTTTTTGTTTCATCCTTCTACAACTTTCATACTAACAAAAATACTTCACGGGATATAGATTAGGTTAATGAAAATATTAAAAGCAGTCAAGAAAAAAAAATCCGTGGTACTGTGCATATATTTGAGGAGTGCTGTTTATGAAATTTATTTTTAACAAGAGACTAGCAACTAATTCATGAATACAACTTAAAACTAATCAGTTCATCTCTATATTACAGGAGAAAAGTCATCATTAAGCAAGGAGTTTTGTTCTACTACCCTGAAAATTCAGAGGTAAATCTTTCAATCCATCATAACAATTACATGATTACACTAAATGTCGTAGAGAAGTCTGCGTTGTGGTAATGTAAGATAAACAGAATCTTTAGCTCAATCAGAAGAGCCTTGAAGTGATATGAAAGAGGCCCCGAGTTTAAATCAATGTGAAGTCACAGACATGTCTCTGTTACATTTATCATTTTAAATATTACACTCCCTTATTTATGCAGCTATATACCCTTATCACCTGAATAATGGGTTTATATTTCTATTTGATTTGATACGAAAGAGCATGCTCTACGTACAGTCTAATTAGATTGGCTCTACGTATGAACAGTTTTTACACGAAATTACGAAGTAATTAATTTATTGACAAGCAAGTTGATGAAGCAAGAATATCTACAGTCTCATTTAAAGTCTTCATTTCGTAAGTTCTCTGGTCGATACAATAACCTTCTTGTCAACAAATACAATGTATCCCGAAGTAGATGCTGACTGATGTTTTTATAGAATTTGTTAGACCAAATTTTACACACTGAATAGTCGACGGATTTTTTCATTATTTTCCGATCATGACAAGGAGCACACGGCGAATGTGACTGGTTGTCAAGGGATGCTTACTCTTCCATGGCATCTTACCCCACTTCTGAAGTTTTATAGGTCCATGTTTCTCTGTTCTGATTTGTATTGTTTGAATGGACCTTAAAGCTTGATTACTGTTCGTTATCTCCATTTATTTAAGAATTTAACCATTTCTTTTTATTCATACATGCAATTTTTTCAGTCCAAATGTATCTGATACTTAATATTGAAGATAAACTTAGTAACCTCAATATATTCATCTGTATTTGATATGTTTTATTATTTTAATCCAAAAACATTGTTCATCAGTATTTACTATTTAGTGCATCCATAAGCAAACCATAAGAACATTACCCTTGCCAAAGAACCATGAAAGTAGTAATAGAATCCTTTGATCGCCCTTTCTTTCAGAAAAGAGTGGACCTTTCCCCTGTTGTAGAATGTCACGTGGATGCTGTAGGATCAGATAAGTTCAACGTCACTGTACCAGGTAGAACCTACAGGTAACCATTTACAACAGGTAAACAGATAATTGTACTCTGACAAACAAAAGATTAATTTTGTCACAGATTATATTTATAGTTTTCAGATTCCCGACTCAGTACGAGACAAACACGAAGAACAATCTGAATGGATAAGAGTGAGTAGAATTTGAGAATTATGAAGTGTGAGCAATATTTTTTGTTTGAGATTCATATCCATTTATGAACGTCAGTTCTAGCCACATCAGATTACACTATCTAAAACATATAGCCATCTACATTTAAATACATCATATATGTTTTCTCTCAACTTTCAGTGCATTAGAATCGCCATATCTGACAGGTACATTCCTTTGTATTATATTTCTTCTATTCTTTCATTTGAGTATTTGAAATATTGTGCAAAAACTATTTCTTTCTAGTATTTTCTTTAAAACACCGTGTTTAGTTCTTCTGAAGGTCAAAAGATTAGAAAAGGAAGTCGAAAAGTATTGCCAGACAGAGATTCCCGTAGTAGCGTTAAACGGAGATCGGTACCAAGATCACCGATACTGAAACAAGGCTACCTAGACAAACAAGGCAACGCAACTGTCAAAGTCTGGAATGTGTGAGTCAAAATTTCCAAATTGTATTATAAATCCCCCAGCTCAATATAGATAGTATCATAAACTGAATGCTGCATCAATATAAGCTCCTGGTACTTTTTAAATTCATTTGTGATGTATGTTTTCATTATAAGAGATCTAAAGATCTTGACAGAACATTTCATCGGAAAAATTACACAGGATAAATTAAATGATACAGCCAATACATTTTCTTTGTAACCAGGCGGTTTGTCAAAGTGGAGCCAGGAAAATTATCCTATGCACTTCCAGAAAAAGTAGAAGTAAGGAACCTCTTTTTCTGATTTTTCTGTGAACTTGTTCCATTGTTTTTTTTTTTCATTTTGTTGGTGTTATTTCAGAATGCCTTAAATGTGATATATCTTCATGAAAGTAATGCTTGTGTCATTTCCACTAAAAATTATGGGTTTGATGTCAAGGTGCCGAACAGAGTTTATCAGTAAGTCGAAATAATTCTAACTATTTCACTCTTAATCACAATCTCATAATTAAATCGATGAAATGACTATTTTATGCATATGACAATGGTAAATATAAAGCTTAACTTTTTGTCATTTTGGCATGCTTATTCCATGTTAACAGAATTGATTGTAGATTTAATCCTTGTAGTTTTAGGCTACTTGAAAATACAGAAAACAGAGATGAAGAGTTTTCAGCCTGGATGGAAGTAACTGTCATGGTTTTTTTTTAACTTTTAACCAAAAACCTTACTATCTTTATAACATGCATGTTAAAAAAAGTAATTACTTGTAGATAGATTACATGCACAGTACGTACTGGTCCCTACTGACAAAGTAGGTAACAACATTGGCTTCGTTTGTAAGGGTCATTATATAAATTGTATTTTAGGAGAACTTGGAATTAATTCTACAAGTGGTAATCCTACTTATACTCATAGTTCCCTTTCTAAGCAAGAAATTCTACAAAATCATATGTCAGTTTTGAATATTTTTAAGATCCCAAAGTTAAAAAAGGAATTTAAACTATCATATCTATATTGGATTCCGAAACTTCATAAAATCTTTACAAAGATATATAGCGAGTTCCAGTAAATGTCCAACCAAGCCTCTTTCTTTACTCCTCACTAAGATTTTAACACCTGTGGAGGAGAAACTTCAAGAGTACTGTGCAACAATATTTTCAAGAAAATGGTGTAAATGAGATGTGGATACTTAAAATGTCCAAAAAACGTTTGAACAATTTGAAATCACAAGATTTTACCAAAATCAACAGCTTAAAAACTAACAACTTTTCAATTTAATACACGACCATTCTCCACGATAAATTAAACTCGAGGCTTTTTGATATCATTGACAGCTGCCTTTTCAATAAAAATGGAACTGGTAAATTTACTTACCATGTCCTTGGTCATTTGCAAAATTATTTTGTTAACAAACATTCTGATTGTACACACAAGTACTTTGAAGTTGATATCAAAAAGATGCTTGAGTTTCTGATTGCAAATATCTCTGTACTCTGAGGTTGACAGTTAAAAGATCCCTGAGTTTCTGATTGACAATATATATGTGGTTTTGGAGACCAGGTCTTCCAACAATCTATTAGAATCCCCATGGGTACCAATTACGCCCCGTCATTGACAGACCTACTTTTGTATTCATATGAGGCCGAATTTGTCCAAAATCTTATGCGTGAAAAGAAGAAAATATTTGCTGTGGACTTCAACTCGACATTTAGATACCCGGTATATCAACGACGTAGTGTCAATTAACACTGGTAATTTCCATTCTTATGTCAATCCGATATATCCTAGTGATCTTGAGATAAAAGATACCACAGAGTCTGACACATCTGTTTTGTATTTGGATATTTTACTTGAAAAAGACGTTAATTGTAATCTAACAACCAAGCTCTATGATAAACGTGACTAACTTTAACTTTTCTATCGTCAACTTCCCTTACTTATGTAGCAATATATGTTCATCACCTGCATACGGAGTTTATATATCTCAGATGATTTCATACGCTAAAACATGCTCTACGTATGAACAATTTCTAAAACAAGGTATTGGCAAACAAGTTGATGAAACAAGAATATCAGCAGTCTCGTTTAAAGTCATCATTCGTAAGTTCTATGATAGATACAATGGCCTTGTCAGGAAATGTAATATATCATTGAGTCAAATGCTGACTGACGTTTTTCATACTAATTGTTAGTTCATTATTTATACATTCATGACTGAATTGACGACGGATTTTTCCGTTCTTTTCCGATCATGACAAGGAGCACAGGCGGGTGGGACCGGTCGACAGGGGATGTTCACTCCTTCATGGCACCTGATCCCACCTCTGATGTTCTGGATGTCCGTGTTTGCTCTGCTCCTTTTTTTGTATTGTTTTATGGACTTTTGATCTTGAATACAGTTCTTTATCTCCATATGTTTCATGATAAAAAATTGCTCATGATTTGGATTTTTAAAAAAAATGGAAACAAATGACAGTGCAAACTCTGTGTAAAGAACTAGAATTTTTTCAATTGACCAGAGAGAACCAAAATTTAGAAATGGAATATATGGAGATAAGGAATAGTTCTCAAGCTCAAAACTCCAGTTAAAAAGCGTTAACTGTCCCAAGTTATGTTATATCATATTACATTAGTTGAAATAAGCTTCATATTTTATAATTTAATTTCAGTGTAGAAAATGAGTTAGTTTTTCCTCCAGAAAAAAGGATTGAAATTGAGCATATTTTAAAAGTAACGTCAAGCGGGGTAATACGTGTTTGACGTAACTCATTGTGAAGTAGGCAACTTATGTTATACGAAATGGATTAAATCTTTTACCCAATCAAATGACGTGGTACAACTAAAATTAGATTATTAAATAATACAAAAAAGAAAATATTTTTGTTATGACAATTGATAAAAAATCCACTAGTGATATTATAAAGCAAAATAGATGACAATAGATCTATTAATGCTAGTTATGTCATTATTTTAATCAGATGTGTTCTAAATTTGTACTATTTCATGACACTTCTGTCCCTAGTTGGTTTGAATTGTTTCAATTAAACCTTACAATGTCGTTTTCAACGTTGTCATTAAGGGATACAGAATCACCCCTTCATAACATGTTGTAAGTGGATTTAATATCATCGGTGGTCAATGAGAAATAAACGGAAGGGTGGTTAGTGCTCTGTAGAGCAATTAGTAAAATGTTATAATCGCTGCATATTATTGGTAAAGAAAACTCCTCTAACACTCTGAATACTTCTCTTTGTAAGGCACTCAACAAAGCCTGTAGCATGAAGCGTTCTTCTGAGCTGCTGGAAGATTTAGGCATTGGAGACGGGTTCCAGGAGATTGATTTATCAAAACCGGTAATTATCAGAATTCTTACATAAAATAAAATCATAACATTTACATAATTATATCTGGCACAGTTCATGTAATTGCATGCATTATATAATTAAATTTTATTTTAAAAAGACAAACTATATACTAGTATATGTAAGATTTAGACTCATTCACATTATAACCATGTGTACACAATATAATTGATTATGTTTAGTGAATTTAATTAATGTTTCAGCCGGTTCAGCTACCTGCTTTTAATTTTTTCAGCATTAGAATCTGATAAAGAACAATTCGTACATTGTCAATTAATATCATTTTTAGTAATCTTGACAAATTTTCATTTTAAAATATTCATAGATATTATTTAGAAAATATATGAATAAAAATGCATGTCTTTTGCTTAACAAACTCGCTTTTAATGGAATAGATGGGTTGTTTTATACTTTCACTATATAGACACAGAATATGCAAAATAAATGCACGCCTGTAATATTGTATAAAGCTTATATTACATGCTAATTTCACTCTTTCAGGATGTTGGGGGAGATATAGAAAACCATATTGATGATAGGTCAGTTACAAAAAGTTATTTTGCATAAATTGATAAAACTGAAAATTACGTGTCCCTTATCGGGACACGTAAAAATTTAACTTTTACTAAAGATATTACTTCTCTCACCCATGGCAATTGGTACCACCTCTGATGTTTTAAAGGTCCGTGTTTGCCCTGCTCCCAATTTGTTTTGTGTTCGTGATCTCCAAATTTCATAGTAGATGTTACTCATCTCATAAGTCAGGATTGTCTATCTGTATTATGACAGAACCTTATCTATTTGTATGATGTAATTAAATTAAGAACAATTCCAATTTCTCACGCTACGAATAGTTATATACAAACCAACAACAACAAAGATTGGTATGTATAAAATGGAAAATCAATGATAATTGTTCATCAGGTGTAATTGTTTATGCTTTTTTAGTGAAGAACTGCAATTTTTGCACTATTTTCATTATAAGTAGGCTAAAACTGCTTCTAGTCGAAATATGAGCATGAGAGAACGTAAAACATCTATTTATTTAATTATAAAATTTCTGTATGTTATTGTGTGTATATTGTGCCGTTTTATCCAATGTTTAACCCTTTTCCCGTTGATATAGCTCATATGATATCGGTTTCATATCCCACAGTTGTTACGTCACAATGGGTTTTGCGTTATAGAGTGATGAAGTAAAATGAAGTGGAGACCTATATAAAAACAGTGTTAAACATTGATTGTGGTGTATAAAACATGGGATAAAAAGAATTTCACATGATCTGTAGTTAGATTATTAGTTATCCAGGTTCAATCAAGGGTGTACAGGGATTTACCCCGGGTTTTATTCCATACACCCTGAGGCCGAAGGCCGTTGGGCCTCAGGGTGTATGAAATACAACCCGGAACCTGGATAACGAATTCATTTCCTCTGTACCCATTAGAATGCTTTGTAAACCTCAAAGTTTGTCTCAAACTATAGATTACATAACTACGTACTACAATTCATCGTGACGTCATGTTATTTGGCTTTTATAATAGAGAATGTATGCACTGTGACGTCACGTTTTATTTACACCCGGCTCGAGTCGGGTGCACGGATATTTACACCCGACTTTGTAACCAATCAATGCTCGTGTTACAAGCGACATGGAAATAAATGATTTTTATCCAACTCATTATGTGTTTTATCCCCTGGCCAAAACTAAGGGATATAAAACACACACTCGTTGGATAAAAATCATTCAAATGATGTGAGATCATATATGTAAGACTCCAAGGTACGATGGTGACGCCAAAGTTCGATGGTCTCGCAAACCCCGATGGTTTGTTGTCGCTACGGACGCCAAAGTCCGATGGTCAGGCCAAAGTCGTTTCCTATGAGACACGCTGCGCCAAAGTCCGAAGGTGTGGAGAAACAATCGACGTTTATAACGTCACAATAATTCAACGTCAATCCTTGACGCCGTTTTCCTGCACTCAAATGCCAAATTCCTAATTTATCCTTGCATACGCTTTTATTTATTTATTGCTTACATGTTTCAGAGATATTAGGATAAGTTCACGCACACCACTCAACTGATTAGCCCTTTTAATTCCTTTGATTTAGGGTTAGTCCTCACACAGTAGTCGAGTTATTAGGGCACCCACCCATGATATCTACTATCTAGATATCTGTATAGTTGTTAGGCCTACACACTTTTCGAGCGATTAGGGTTAGTTTCGCACCTATCCGAGAGATAAGGGTTAGTTTTCGCAAAATGATAATTATTAATACTTATTTAAAACCTTAGCATGGTGCGGCATTGTAGTTTGGCGCATTAGTACTATGACGTCATAAACTTTGTTTTCTGCACCATCGGACTTTGGCGTGTCAAACCATCGGGGTTTGGCGTGGACCATCGGACTTTGGCGTGACCATCGGACTTTGGAGTTCCATCGCACTTTGGAGTCTTACATGTATATATCAGGTTATTCAATATCAGGTTACATGTACATGTATATAGAGCAGTATAATGATGATAATTTTGTGAATTGACAGAGAACATTCATAGGCTATAAATCTGTTGTCCAATCATGTTTTTTTCTATAAAATATTTTACCCAGCCTTTTGACTGTCATTGTATCTTCTATCTGTTTTTTTCCTCCATAGTAATAGACTAACTGTTATGGTTCCTCCGGGAGAACAGTTAAATGTGATAAAAAAGCCAACAAGACCAGGAGTCAAGAAACCTACACGACAAAATCTACGGAAGGACAGCGAGGATGAGCCATCATAGCTATAAAGGATATTACTCTGTGTTCTGTGATATAGGATTATTATTGTTTTATTATATCTGTGTTGTTAATCGCCTTGTCAGCATAATACTAACAAAAAGTATTATTTTAAATCTAATACAGCAATCAGTATTTTTTATTTTAAGTATAAAATTACTGGAATTTTTATATATGGATGAATAATAACTTTTTTATGTATTTTTAAATATATATGACAGTATGTCATACGACATAAATTATTTATTATTATCATACGAATAATTGCCTGATATTATCATTACAATAAACATTGAAGTATACAATAAAAATTTAATAATATCATGATCTTTGTACGTTTGTTTTTAGACTTGATTCTAGTTACGCTGTTTTCTTCCTTTCTTTCTCTTTGGTTTTAGTTTCGAGTTGAGTAATTCCTTCCCCAGTCTTTTGATATCTTCCCTTGACAACAGACCCTCATTATCCTGGTCATGATCAAACCGGAACTCATCATCGTCACTTCCGTCATCCGTTTCTATTCGGATCCGGATATTCTCCGGAGAAAGTTGACTTTCCAAATATGCATGAAGCTATGGAAAGAAAAAAAAGAAATAAGATCTGTTTTCAAAAGAGTTGTAAATCAGCTTTTACCTTGATACTTTTTTTTTCCTGGAGGAATTTCATATAAAATAAATATTCTTAGAGGGGTGAACGAAATGAAAAGCTGCTTGTAGTATCAGAAGAATTCCCTGACCTTGAACTGGTCCGAGGCTTTTGATAATTTGGGCACCTCTTCCTTTATGGCCTGTTCCTGGGCCAGCAGTTCTAACTTCCTGGAACAGTTAGCCAGATCATCCACCGGGTCACCTTTACTGAAGTTATGGTACGGCTAATAAGAGGAAAACAAAAGATTGATATTTGAAAAGTATATATCTTCGTTTAGATGGTTACCTTCGATTTCTGCAAGCAAGTATGCCAATTTTTAGATTTTATCAAGTATCTTTTGAAACTGAGGCTGTAGAGTTCCAATGAGGAATGGTAGATTGTAGTCTTACCGGCTTGAGTTTGACTTCTTTGAGTTTGTCGTACAGGGTTGCTATTCCAAACTGGAGGTCTATCAGTAGCTTCTCGTTCGCTTCCATCCCCTGTACCGCCTCTGCACAATTCTTCTCTTCCTTGGCAACAAATTCCTGCATTTCATCCACCATTTTCCGTCCTCTGAACAAAAAAATTGTATCAAAGCATATGTATCATACATGAAATTCTTAATTTGAAAGTATGTAAAGCAAGTTTTTGGCAAAACATACAATGAAGGTAGTCTTCCTTACTTAGCGAGTTGCCTTTGGCTAGTGAATTTCATCTCCTCAAAAACTCTGGTGAGTTTGTCTCGTTCTTCCAGGAGCTTGACCTTGGCCTGTTTCTTCTCTTTCTCCTGTTTAACAAGTCTCTCATGCGTGGATTCCTGGTTTGTGACTCGGAATACTATGTCCTTAAAATAGTAAAAAAATCACAGTGGTGTTTATATTTTATATATTTATATATGTGGCCTAATGCATAGTCCTAAATGATTTTAAGCTCAGGATAAAATGAATACCTCGATATCAGACACGTTAATGGCGCTCTTGATCTTTTCAAACCCTTCACTGAGTGTCAGGAGATGCTCTTGTCTCTCAAATTTCTCCATCTGAAGCTTGGCAGCCTTGGAGTCTGAAACAAATGAAGCATGATTTTCAGTCTTTTATAACTTGTCACTTTAACTTGATAAGTGCTTTAATTATGAAGATGGAATTCATAATATTCTGAACTACTCACCAGTATTGTCCATAATTATGTTCACCTTGGCCTGAAAAAGTAAAATGGAATCGTATGAATTTAACCCATTCAAGAAGGTGTAACAGAATGTGACATCCGTAACAGTCTGGAGTGATTACTGACCCTCTTTTCTGCACGTTCTACCACCGGTTCTCGGCGCCTCTCCACCTCCTTCTTGGTTTCGTTCAGCTGAGCGTCTCTCGCCCGTTTAGCCTGGTACATGTCTCTCTCCATAGAATGCAATTCGGTCTTTAAATAAAGAATCGTACATTATGTAAACCTTTAAAAATCTGCTTTGGTTTCAGCATTTCTGTAGTAACCAGCAGAATAGATGTACCCATTCATGGTTATTATTATAAATTGATGTAAAACTATGTGCTATTTCTATCATCTGTAGATGGTTACTATACAAAGCAATCTTGCAGATACAGAAAACTCAGAAGATACTCACTCTTGCTTCTTCTTTACTATTTACGGCCTTTTCATTCATTTGACGTAAAACTGTTAGTTCCTGTCTGGACTGAACCACGGAGGTTTCCAAGTTATCAAGGCGAGCCGGGTACAAACGACATTCCTACAACAGGTGGATAAAACTCAGACAAACCCGTAAAATAAGTTGGTAAAATGTAGAACTCAAAGAGATAAATAAACTTCAAACCAGTAGACAAAACTTAAACAGTAGGAAAAAAAGCCACAACAAAAGTTAAGACTCAAAAAGATGAGCGACATTTGAACAGTCAAGCTAAACCCAAACAGAAGAAATTCAAACTGGTAGGTAAAACTCAATGGAAAAGTAAAATTCAAACAGTAAAATAAAACTCGACCAGTAAAGTAAAATAAGTCTCTTGATACGGCCTTCAATTTAAAATTTAGGTAGAATGAAGACGTTTTATCTATAAATAATTTTTATTTATTTTTCATTCCTACGTTCATTCGAGATATCCCTCTAAATTTCAGACAATAGTATACCACAGAATCTAAAATGTGTGTTTCATATTAAGATATTTTACTAGAAAAGGTATTAATGGTAACAAAAATTTATGGAAAACATGATGGCTTCAACTTTTCCACCGTCAACTTCCTTTATTTGTGTAGCAAATATATCAGTATCACCTGCATATGGAACTAATTGTCTCCTAATCGAAATGCATGTTCTAAGTTCAAACAATTTCTAAAAAAATGACAAGCTTCGGACAGATAAGTTGATGAACTAGGTTATCAGCAGTCAACTTTTCGCAAATGTTATGGTCGATATAATGACCTTATCAGTAAGTACAATCTATCATCTATCTTCAATAATCCAGAAGTGAAAAAAGAATTAGATAGGTTAAATGGTCATACGTACTGGTCCCTGCTGACAAAGCAGGTAACAACATTGTCTTCGTTTGTAAGGTTCATTATATAAATTGTATTTTAGAAGAACTTGGATTTAATTCTACAAGTGGTAATCCAACGTATATTCATAGTTCCCTTTCTACGGGAGAAATTCTTCAAAATCATGTCAGTTTTTAATATTTTTGATACTGTGAAATCACTAATTTTCGGTAAGAGTTAATTTCGTTGTTTTCGAGACATAGAGAGACCCACGAATTTATGTCCACCAAGAAATGTAAAATTTCATATGCATTACTCCTTATCACTCTCCAGCCACGAAATCAAATCCCCAAAATCATTTTCCTTTTAACATCGAAAATTTGACCCAGCGAAAATATATGATTTTACAGTGTTCCAAAGAACTAAAATGAATTTGAACTACCATTTATATTTTGGATTCCTTACAAACAAAGATACAAAGCGGGTTCCAGTAAATATTCAACCAAGCCTCTTTCTTTACTGTCAAGAAGACATTAACAGTTGTGATTTACCAAAATCAACAGCTTGAAAACTTACGACTTTTCAATTTTATACACAACCATTCCCTCCCAAAAATTAAAGTCCAGGCTTTTTGATATCATTGACAGTTGTCTGTTCAATTAAAATAGAACTCGTTAATTTACTTACCTTGTCATTGGTCATTTGCAAATTTTTGTTAAAAAGACATTCTGATTGTACACACAAGTACTCTGATGTTGACATCAAAAAGATGCCTGAGTTTCTGATTGACAATATCTATGAGGTTTTTTGGAGACCAGGTCTTGCAACAATCTTTTGGAATTCCTATTGGTACCGATTGCGCCCCGTTATTAACAGGCCTATTTTTCTAGTCATGTGAAGCATATCAAGCTCTATGATAAATTTTATGACTTTAATTATTCAATGAACTTCCCTTACTTATGCAGCAATATACCTTTGTCACCTAGCTGCATACATAGTTTATATCTCTCTGTTAATTCGATACGCAAGAGCATGCTCTACGAATAAAATATTTCTAAAACGAGGTAAATTATTGACAAACAAGCAAGTTGATTAAACAAGAATATCAGCAGTCTCGTTTAAAGTATTCATTTCGTAAGTTCTGTGGTCGATACAATGACATTGTCAGAAAATACAATTTATCTGGAGAAATGCTGACTGACGTTTTTCATACTAATTGATAGTCCATTGTTTATACACTGAACTGACGACGGATTTTATAGGTCTGTGTTTGCTTATCATCTCAAGACACGGTACGGAGTCCGCATATATAGCTCTCTCCTCCAGAATGAGAGAAGATGGTACATTTTGGCCTTGGTTTGTGGTTAGTGTTTGCACTGTTTCTGATTTGTATAGCTTCATTAGACTTTTGAGCTTTATTACTGCATGTTTGTTATCTCTATGTTTCATGTGAACATGGTGAAGATTACGAACAATAAACCTGCTCAAATTAGATATAAGTAAATTGTAGGCAGAGGCACCATTAACCCTTGGAAACATCAGGTATGTGATCAGGAGCTGTAAAGGAGTAAGCATCTTGACGTTGAATGTTTACCGCGCTGTGTATTTTTGTCATGGAAATGGAAAAGTCTGAAGATTCAGTGTATAAAATAATGGAGAATCAAATAAAAGAAGATGTTAAAATATCGAATAAACAATAGATTTTGTTTGCAAACAAACCCATTGTAATGAATATATTATTGCTCATTTTTCATTTTGAACGAGATTGTAAATAGTATCAATTTATAATTAATTTATTTCTCAATACCCTGCTTTTATAAATTCTTTTCTACAATAACCCTAGTAATAATACTCTTGCTTTTCGACGTAGACATCAAAATTCATGTGATAATAGTATATTATTACATATTTAAGTAAAGCTGGCGATATGAAAATTGAAGTCAACACGATAATAATAAAGCTGAGTGATATGTTTGCAATCAATTTTCCTTTACTAAAATATCCAGATACGAAGCAATGTGATGATCTTTATTTCCCGTCCAGCTGGACACATGGAGTCAATATGGGA